TGCACCCAATTCTGGTAGCCCAGGAGGTGCAGCAGGTACCCAACACTCTGCATCCCACCCCAGATTGAAGGCTCCAGGGTCTTAGTACTGGTAGGGATGGGGTCATCACTCAGAAGCCCATGCAGAAAGGTGGGACTCATTCATCATGTAGAGGGCCATGGAAGAGAGCGCCAAGCAGGGAATGAGTAAGTCTATGAACAGAAGGAAATTCATGTGCCTATCTTGAGAGCAGTCTTGAAGTGGATTCTCTGCTGTCTCACAAAGAGTGAGTTTAGCCTTAAGCCTCAGAGGCACAGAAAGAAGAGGTCTCTCTGCTCCCTCCCTAGTGATCACACAAGCCTGGTCATTAGAAAAACAGGCTGAAAAAGAAGGATGGGAATGCAGGCAGAAGGCTAGAGTGAAACACTAGACATGCTTTCACTAGAGTGATTTAAGGGATGCCCAGGGAGCAAAGAACATGAGTGAACTGCTCTGCAGAGACTGACTGATGAGCCCACTCCAAGCCTCAGATTGACCAACCAATGCTGCCAGGAGAGCCTAGAGCCCAGCTGATGTCTGTCCTTTATCGCCATAGCAACAACGTGCAGCTGCCTGCTGAAGTCCGGCAGTCCCTGGCCGTGGAAGCGGAGGCCCAGAGACAGGCAAAAGTGCGGGTATGCCAACTCTGAATACTTTTCATCTCCTTCCAAAGCATCACTCCTTCCTTGCCCACCCGTGGTTTGAGGTCCCTGGGACATTCCACACGAGGATACAGCTCTGGGAAGATAAGTTTCCTTTAATTCCTGTTCAAGAGCTGTGTCTGGCAGGGGGAGCGGCAGCAAGAGTCTGGGCCAGCCCAGTGGAGTGCCAGATCTGGTACCTGGCCTACAGGCAGGACAGACAAAGAGGTCTGGCATTATCCTTGGGCCTACAGTGATCTTCATGGGAAGCTCTTCCTCAGGGTTTCACTCTCCTCTAGGCGCCCAGTGCAGGGCTGTCACCACCATCAGGTACCCTGCACCTTGCTCAGCTGAGGCTGGCTCTGTCCCTTGCACTGAGCTGCTCAAGAGCCTAGGTAAGGCTGGTGTCCAGCAGCCCTCCCCAAGCCTAGCCTGGGGGCTGCCCTCTCCTATGCTTTTGCAGCAAGACTATGCCCAGCTGTGAGCCCTGAGGGGCCTAGTAAAAATAAGTTAGACTTGAGCTCCCGAACTTTTGTGAGCATCGAGGTCTAGTACATGCTGTGATCTTCAGAGAGCAGGAATGTTATAATCACACTGCCGCTGGGAATTTCATGGTGGAAACCTCCCTCTGTAATAAACAGTCCATGCCTCCTCAGTCCTAGCCTCACAGAAACCTTTTTTTATTCCTTTGCTTGGTAGGTGATCGCTGCTGAGGGGGAAAAGGCTGCTTCTGAGTCACTGCGGATGGCAGCTGAGATCCTGTCCAGCGCCCCTGCTGCTGCTCAGCTCCGTTACCTCCATGCACTGCATTCCCTTATGGCAGAGAAACCTGCTGCTTTCATCTTGCCCTTGCCTTTGGATGCCATGAGCCTGGTTTCTCCAGCTACCCACAGTCCTCCAGCGGTGAGCAGCCTCCTCACAGACACCACAAAGGTCCCAGAAAGCCTGAAAGACAAGAAGGACTCACCCATGCTCTAAGAGCTGCCCCAGAAATGGTTGCCTCACTGGCTCTGCTCAGTCCTGCTCAGAGAGGAGCAAGGAAGCTGGCCTCTTGGCAGCCTACCTGCAGGTCCTGGTCTGGCAGCAGAAGGGAAGGCAGCCCAGGCCTGTAACATAAAGTGGACTGTACATGGAAGAAGCTTCTTGCTTGTTTTGGAAAGGGAAAAATACGGAGCACAAGGAGCAGGGCTGGGACATGTGTGAGCAGGGGGTTGAGGGAAGAGGGATGTCGCGTCGTCCCTTCCCCTTCACAGGCCCAAGAGGCACCTTGACACCCCCAGGGCCTGGCCCCTGGGCTCTGACCTCTCTTGCCCCATCACCTCAGCAGGAAGGACAGACTTGCCCTTATCTACTTAAATGCCCTTTGCCCCCAAAACTGAAGAGCAGGGCAGGTGAGGTGGGAGCCCGACAGTCGGTGGGGGAATGGGAAGGGGCTGAGCATGCAGGCAGGTTGGTGAGTGGTTCTGCAAGGAGGGAACTAGCTGGGTCCCATGGTGTAGTCCCAGATGGGGGATTTCAGTCACCACCCATGCGTGCACACACACAGAAACACACGCACACACACGCGCGCACACACGCGCACACACACCAACACACACCAACACACACCAACACACACCAACACACACCAACACACACCAACACACACAACCGACGTGTTTAGTCCTAGTTCTAAAACAGGAGGAAAAGGAAGAGGAGGAAAGGGCAGCCTTTAAGGCTTGGCACTTCCCTGCAAGGCATATCAGCAGAGGAAAGGCAGGCTGTGCTGCTGCTCGCTTCCGCTGGGGGGTGAGGCAGAACCAGCTCTGAGCTTGTGGCCATCTTAAAATCTTAGAGGTGATCCGTTTAACTAATTCCCCCTGAGCAGACAAGGGGGAATCCAGCACTGCTGGGGAGGAGCCAGCTGAGAGCCTTGAGAACAGTCATACTTTTGCCTGCTGCAGCTGCCTCTACACACGGGGAGGGAACAGATAAAGCCCTCAAAACTCCTCTAATCCTCAGAACTCCTATCTATCTTTCCTGCCAAAAGCTATTTGAAATACCCAAGGAACTACAGACACTGCAATCCTTCCCCTTGGGAAAGATACAGAGCACTCTCAGAGGAAATACCACTGCACCCAGTTTCTCTGATCCTGGTGCCTGCTCCTGCCCTTTTAGTTGATCTGCAGCATCTCCCCCTGCTTTGAAGCAGACCTCCCCTGCACAGACCTCCCCAGGCCCAGTGTTCTGCTGGTGGCCTGTAGAGGCCAAGGTAGAGGGCATTTTGTGGCCCTTCTCTTACTTGCCCACACAGTAGCTGGCCATCATGGGTGTGCCTAGCAGGGGTCGCTCACTCTTCCATTTTCACTCATTTTATTCAGTCCCTCTTTGACTCCTGGTAATGCTCCCACACATTGGCACAAATCATCGGTAATGCTTCTGTTAAATGCAGCAGTGTCACGAGGATGGCCTGCACGTACTGGCTTGATACTGCTATGCAGCATGAGGACCCCACTTCTACTAAGTACCACATATTCTGTATTTAACCAGCCCCTTCAGCTCCCTGGAGCCCCCTTCTCAGCACTCAGTTCTCCCCTAGTACTCGCTCTACAAGTATTTGCCTGCATTTTTACAGCAGACACCCAGCGAACCAGCACCCTTACAAGTGGCTGGGAAGTGGGAAAAACCCACTTGGGAACTTCTCAGTGATCGCATAAGCATCAGATCTCAAGGTGTAAACTCACATCTAAATCATTCTGCCACTGCAGCCCTCTCAGGAAAGGGCATCGGGACAGCTGTGGCTTCTGCTTCTGTGGCTGCAATAGATCTCAGAAGTGATCCACTCATGGAAAACTAGCTCTGGGAAGTGGAACAGCTTGGTAATCTTCCACTGGCGAACATGAGCTGTGTAGTTACTTCTCTAAGGCTGGTTCTGGTTATTTCTCATGCTGCTGGACTATGCCCCTGTTACCCAGCCTAGGGCAAAAGGACGTAATACTACACAGAGTGAGCTGCAGATGACCTTTCTCTGAACACTTCTCTGGATGCATTTCTGAATCGGTGTAAAATGATCCATGAAGACCAAGATTCCTTGGCACATCAAAGACCAACACCTCTACAGATAATGTCTCAAGGAACAACACTTAGCCTGAGAAATGACTGTCAAAAGACACACAGCATGAAGTCAGTGCACACACGTTACCCTAATTGTACTCATATCTGCAGAAGTCAGGCACAGCTTTTTCAAATGTGTAGCTTTTCTGCAGTTACAGAAAAGGCAAATTATAGCTAAGAGCCTTCTCAGTTCCCAAGAACACACCTTTTGCTCCAGCAGGATCTTCTCTCTTTTACATATAAAGAGCTAGCAGAAACTTGTCATTTTGCCTTGAGGAGATAGTACATTCAAAAACTTTGCAGAAGGAAAATAATTTAAAAATGTACTTCAGGATTAGTAATATATGATGTTTCCAAAATAGAATTTACTCTGAGGGAGTTGGCAGGGGTTTTCTGAGCTGATGTGATTCCTGACAGTTTCATTGCCTGCTCTTCCAAGTTGAACCCAGTCAGCTCTGCAGAGCCTGAGCCTTGCAGAGCTCTATAACTATACAGACTACCCCGGGTCAGGGACCCAACAGAGGCAGGAGTCCCAAGTGGCCACCTCACTGGGCAGTTTGGCTTGTTGAGGCTGTAGGGGTGCTGCAGATGGGGAGACAGGAGTCTCAGATGCCAAACACAGAAATCACAGGGAGATGGAGCATTTAAATGCCATCCCAGTGAACTGGCATCATCTGAAATCTGATTTTGCGACCTTGGCTGCAGGCAGTTCTCCTGTGGCAGCAATTTGAGAAAGGTCTTCAGGATCACGCACAGCTCCAGGCTGCTTCATGGTTTCTGAAAGAGGGACAAAACCTTCAAAAGAAGAAGATTCAAAGACACACCAAAATTTGTCCCAATTATGTACTATTTCGTCCTGACCAGTAAGTGGTAACTGGATCATCTGAAGTCCAGAGGATGAAGGAAGTACCCATTATCAGATACATAACCAGGCTACTCTGGCATGAAAAAATATCCTTCACAGGAGAGGAAAGAGGTGCAAACAACTTAACTGCATGATCCAACAGGGATGAGGCAGAATGAGACAGAGCACCAAGAGACTGATGCACACAAACAGGAGGCAAGCATGAGGGGAGAGGAGGAGGGTGCACAGGCAGGAGAGATGTGGGTAGGCAAAATTCAAGGTATTACACAGGGAAGACAAACTGTAAAGATATTAGAGCTGTGGGATGAGACAGAGGACATGCAAGACAGATGTGGAAGTAGTAGAGCCAGCTAGAACAGCATAAATGCTGAGATGGCAGAGAAATGTTGGGGTAGTAGGTAAAGAATAATGGCAGTGGATCAGGGGTGAAATGCAACTGTGAATAGGCACTAAGAAACTATGTGGGCGTTGCTGTCCTTTAATGTTTGGTTTTTCTGGATCCCTTGGACTGGACAGAGCTAGAAGCTTTGGGACTTGAGCAGGGTCTGACTTCTGACACACTTTCTTGGAAACAGTTTTCTGAAAGAAAAAATAACAAACCAAAGCCATTAAAAATACCACAGGGTTAAAATGTGCTCAAGGTATCACATCCTTAACAAATAAATTAGCTTCTCCTCCTGCTTTGATGTCAGAGAGACTGGATACACTGAAGGACTAAGGGAAGAAGTTTTATTTCCCATTATTCCTCCTTCGCCACATATTATATCTGTGTGGAATCAGATGAAAAAGGACACACAGAAATCCTTCCATGCACAACAAACATGCGACCTAAGAAACTCCCTGCCACACCATGTGGGCAAGATCAGTAAGTCAGCAGTGTTCAAATAACTCCTGGAGACAGAAGTGTCCTGTATTATAAACACAAAAGGTCTGTGGCCTCTGAGAGTGAAGGGACCTGGAACGTTATTTCTCTTCTACCCCAAAATAATTGATCTTGACTGTAACAGAGAACACTCACTTACAAGGAAAATGAAGCCAGTTACAGTGATCACCTAGATAGAGACCCCATGTCATATGTCCAAATCAAACAAAATTACTTTCTTTCAAAACATTCAGCGGTTCTTTCTGTCCTGATCCAAAGTCATGGTAAAACCCTCCTTGCTTGGCATCTGACAAAGATGTCTAGACAAAACCCTGGGATGTGCCCAAGAGGAGAAGTTCCTGCACTAAATGGGAGATGAATGAGGTGTCCTCAAAGACTGCTTTCTTCTCTGAGTCTAGGTGGGGGCTCAGAATATTGATTCTCCTGACCTTGCTCTTCTTTGTGAGTTGCTTCTGGGGTGACTTTCCCCTCTTCCTCCAGCTCACTCTCTAGCTCTTTGATTCTCCTCAGAGCTTCTTCCAGCTTCTCTTCAAGACCTTCAGATCTCTTCTCTGCATTCTGAGCATGGATCTCCATTTCTCTGAAACAGAAGCAAAGATAAGGCTGAAACTTGAAATCTAAGCAGCTGCTGGCAGGATACCTGAAAGAAAGATTTAGAAAACTGAAGGGTTCAGTGGGACTCATTGACTCTGTAAAACACATTTATGGTTTCAGAGAAGGGCACTGTTAAAAAATCTGTAAGAGATGTCATGGCACATCTATGTAAACCCTGCAAATTGAATTAATTTTAAAACTCAAGAGTTTTATAGCAAAGAGTCTTTGCTGATCTTCACTCGGCAAGGATAGATACTGAGCACAGTCAGTTATATTAGCAAGGCTAATGAGATGGGCTTACCCTGGATAACGCAAGCTCACAGACAAAGCAAGAAGTATGAGGGAATGTAATTCAGAGTGCCCAAGGCTGTTTAAGCATGGAAGAAGTTGTTACCAAACACAAGCCTTAATGTGGTTCTGCACAGAGACACTTGGGTGTCCCTTCATTGTGTTCCCCCCATGTAGGTATAACAATTCATGGCTGTACTTCCCAAGCTCCCAGGCACTAGCAGGCACTGGAAGTGCTCAGCTGTGATCACATAACACCTGTGAGTGCTAACAGGACCTGAAGTATTAAGAAGTCTTGCAGAAAACCATCATGAGTACACCTCTGCAATGTATCTCGTGAGTACACAAAATGGAAAGTCTGCACACAGATGAAGGAAAGCTGACATGGGCCATGTCTTCAGCTAACATAAATCATTGTCAGTGGCCTGAGACAGTCACAATGGAAGGAAGGCAAAATTAAGCCAATGGATATTGAATGAAGCAAAACCTTATCAGAGAGCAGAACAGGCACTTCCATGGGATGAAATGCTGCCCCGCTCATGCCTCCAGTACAGGACCAGTACCCACAAGAGCTGCACTTGCAGATGTTCCAACACTGCCAGGGCTTCAAACTCTTTCTGAGAAAAGGGAGTCGATGACTTGGTGGCAGTCATCTCCCTCTGCTTGGGAAGAGCAAAACTTTCTATAAGCGTACGTGAAACCAATAATGCTGCATTTCATCTGCAGCATGTGCTTGGTTTGGTGCCAGTGTCTCAGTGCACAGTCACAGCAGACAAGAGCTCTGTATCAGCAAAACATGGAAAACCAGAGGCTCCTTCAGGCTCTGAACTGATCTTGGCAGTAAAAATAGATTAAAATGCTTCTCTGACTCAGACAGGGAAGTCTCACTGGCTCATAGTCTTGGGTTGCCGGTGTATTCACTGGGTTACAGAGGTTGGAAATGGCTGTAGCCTGACCAGGAGCGAAACAAACAACAAAACAATATTCAGAGAACAGAAAGAGGCAGCTCCTCACAGGGTCCAACAGGCATAAACCAGCTTTTAATTGTCTGAAGACAACCAGGGTTTTTCTGTGAAAGTAAACAGTTGAAAGGCTCCTACTCTAACCTTTAGAAGGTAACTGTGATTTCCAGGGATTTGTTTCTGCAGAACAAATCAAAGCCTATAAAGAAATGCTCCAGCATCTTCCACTGTCACTGTGCACCAGCTGCCCACCTCTAAAGCATGGAGGGCAAGGCACACTCAGCAATGCAGCACACGTAAGGAGTGGGACCATCCAGTGACCACTTGCTAAAGATCCACAATTCCTGTACTTCCTAGGCTCCACTCTGGATGGCTGACTGGCCAGGGAACGTCTGTAAAAGGCAGACCCTGTGACTTCTGAGGAGCAACTTTACCAAAGAGTACCATCTCAAAGGCAAGTGGAGAAAACAAGGACCTAGGAGGCCAAAACAATCTGAACTTCTTGCTTCCCTGCTGTTGTGGAATCACCCTGAATCTCTGAACCCACTTCAACTCCTCCCACTTGCTCTGCACCAAACCATTTTCACCATCGTAGTTTCTGTAGATAGTCCTGGTTCAGACTCCACATATCACCCGTTACTGGTCCCATGGAAGTCCTGGGGCCATGGCACTAATGCACGGGTCAGGAGGACAAATTGCAGCCGTGGTAACTGTGTTAATGTTATGTTAATGTTATGATACCCCCTTTAACACTTGTATCAGACCTGCTGGGGCAGTGCAAGGTGCTGGTGTTCTCTCCAATTCCTCTGTTCTTGCAATTTTAAATAAAGGGGGTATGATAACAGAGTCTGACTAGACAGCTAAAACTCAGCTCCAAATCTCTGACAACAGGCTAAAACCATTGGTGTGGCCAGACTCCTACCCCTGTAACTAATGCAATGTCTGACTTCAGAGATTTCAGGTGGATGTTGGAGTCATGTCCTATGTATCTGATAACGTCTGCAGTGGCTTCGTTGTCCTCAGTCAGATAATCCATACCAGCACCTGGCTGCTGTTGAGAGAGAAAATAACAAGAAATAGGAGATACCTCTAGCCTAGTGGCATTCAAGACAGCTGTAAGGCCATGTTTCACATTTCATACACCAAGCAATAATTAAAAAGGCCCTGCTGGAAAGTAGCATATTGTAGCTACTATAGTCACCTGCATAATAGAAAATTCCACATTTACTTCTAATGTTTCTTCCTCTGTTATGGGTTTTCTACTGCTGTTAGCATCTTCAGCTTCAAGTTCTTCCTGAGTTGAAGAAATGGTAGTGTCCTTAAGCTTCAGTGCAATTCCTGTAAGGCACCGTAAGGATCAGCTGAGTAGCATGGTCCCCTTGTCCATCTAAATAACCTTGGCAAAACTAGCTGGTCTCTGACTTTTTCTTGCACATATTTAGCCTTGGACTTCAAGGAGAGTCCTGAATATGAATACATTTCAAATCACAAATGAATATGGTAATTACTGAACTTTACATAAGCAGGACTCACTGTGGCATACCGGCTTTGCATAGGCCATGGCAGGGAGAAAAAGCAAGGCAGCACACCAGGTAAAGCACTAGTCATGAATAATGTCACTTTGCTTGGGTGTTGAGTTCAGAACTGATGTAAATAAATTGTTCAAGACAATATATCTAAATCCATTACCTCATCATCTAAATTTAACCTTTTTTGTATGAAAGTAGACCAATGCCAGGCCAACCATCTATAAAACACATCTAATTATCACAGGCAGTCTCAGACATCCATTTAAACACATAAGAATTAAACTAGTAGTTCAGCCTGGTCTCCTGCGCAAGGCAACCACCAGGATTCCAGCCAAAGTCCACCCCAATAAGTGAAACAAAAGCTACCATGCACCATGGGGAACTGATCTACCAGTGGGGTAAAATCTCCTAGCTCCACTGATGTTCTGGTTTTGCCTTAGACCTGCCCTCACAAGAAGCACTGTGATTTTTAACCAGTTCATCATAACACCTCATATTTCTTAGCTGCTGCTTTGAATGCATATAGGTCCCCATGTGAAACCCTCCCTTAAACTGAACCTCATTAAGGAAAAGTTTTGAAGCAGACCTTCATTCAAACTGGTTCAACCTAGAACAGCAAATGCAGTCTATATATACCTCTGATCCAAATAGTTCTTCTAAATCCAGAAAGGAGACCGGAGTGCCTTTGATCTCTGAAAGGAGAAGGCTACACACCTGATTCCAATTACAGCACTTGGTCTGGAAAGACATAACAGAAAATTATAAATTAGGGATTACTGAGCAAAAAAAAAATAGCTGTTATTATATTAATGCAGTCAGTTAAGTAATTCCACCCTTCTGTCTATCTGTTCCAGGGACCTACCTGGACCCTTCCATCCTCACCCTACAAAGGAAAAGGAAGATACATTTCTCCAAGCTCTCAGACATGGCACCTGTCACCAGCTAATCACTCCCACCACCTAATTCCTTCAACAAGCTTCTCCTCAGGCCAGTGCAGAACAGCTGTCACAGCTGCTGCCCCAGCCCATATGGGGAGAAATTAGTGTAAATCTCAGGGGTTAATTTTTCACTCACTAAGGTAACACAGAACAAAAGCACAAGTATTTTCAATCCCTGCAGAGAAGCTTCTTACATTCTCTGAGGTAACACCATTTGCCCTGTGCTCAGGAAAGCTTTAGGCTTCAGAAGGGTCTACCTCTCATATTCCTAAAGCACAGGCAAAGCTCAGCTAAACACTGGCAGTTACACCGGTAGCAGTTAAGAGCTTTACCTCCAAGTGTAGAATAAAAAGGTGGTATGTAGGTCATTTGACTACAAAAACTTTCAACTGCATCTGTATAAAGGTACATTGCATCAAGTACCTCCAGGAAGTCCTAAGCACTGCTCAAGTCTGGATGTACATAGCTCTGGCAAGCTTGAACCAGAGGTGAATCTACTGCCATTCATATGGAATAAATCTCACAAGAGAGACCTTATATATGTACCCTGGAACGGGGTAAGGAAAATATTAAAACATAGCCTGACACAGGTTTATTTGCTTTCCAGGACTGCAGAGTCAGTAGGAAACTTGGGGGACCAGGGTAATTCATTAGGGTAGTGGGAGTCTTCCTCCTTCTTGAAATCTTCACATATATTTTTCTCCACCTTTTGCAAAGCAAATGCAGTCTCATCTACCCCAGACCTAACAGCTGGAAACACACGCACCTTTTACCTTGATCTTATTCAGCTCCTCCAGCTCAAAATCAGCTGCTGAATCCATCTCAGACCATTTCTTTTGAACAACGGCATTGACAATCTCATGGCAGCAGCTGCAAAGATGCAGAATGTCATCAGCCCTGCAGGAGTGCCCTCAAATATTTCATTCCCTTCAGCCAGGATCCTGCTGCTGTCAGCAAGGCACAGGAGCTATCTGCAGACCTCTGCAGAAGAGAAGTCTCCAGAAGAGCAATTCTTGCCTGACCCACTCCCACAGTGACCTCCCGGACAGTGTGTCCATGCCAACGCTGCACTAGCCCACAGCGGACACGTGAGCACAGATCCCGAATCAGGTGCAGACTTTGCTCCAGGTGTCCTGGACTGCAGACTCACTGCCTGTACTTCCCTTATGTCCTCTGGTGGTCATCCGCAAAGGTGTGAGCCCATGCAATCAGATGCAGGCATTTTATAGCAGTACTAGGTATAAAGCAAGCACTGCCATTCTCTTTAGGTGTTCCTATCTTATTCAGCTCCCTACATATTCCAGTAAGGTTCATTTAGGACCTGGAAAAAGATCCAAGGACAACCAAATTGATTGGATCTGTTGCCATGATCAATTTCTCAGCACACTACACATTTTTTTTCTTGAGAAAACCTCCTTAGATGAAATTGAAAACCTATGCTGATACTTGACTATAGAACCAGAGAGTCTGCCCATCCCTGCAACCAGCTCTTCAGCTTCATGGTGCAGCTTATGAGCCCTGAGAAGTCTGAGCTCCTCATTTGTCTTGGTGTCTGACTCTTGCCACTGGGGACACTCCCGGGACAAGTGGCCTGCTGTCATGTGTCTCAGCAAATTCACCAGCCACAGGGTCAGGTTTCTGTCCAGTTCTGTCACCTGCACAAAACATTGGAGCAAATCTAAACCAGTAATAAATGACTAGTCTTGCCAAGTAGCCTGAAGCCAGTCTATTTCACATACGTCAATGTCCTACCTAATTCAATTTGCAAACTGACCAAAACATTTATTTTTATCATTTTTCTCCCATTTTCATTCCCATTACAAACACTTCTTTTACCATCATGGATCTATCCTTTGCCCAGTTCTTTTTAGGATCATACGCTGCTTATCAGCCATGTGGCACTTTCTCTTTTCCAGAATTCAGCAACAAACCAAAAATCACACACCACACTTAGAGAACATTAAAAAAAAAAATAATCTAGTGAGAGCCTCTAGTCTACAATCCTGGGAGAAAGAAGTAAAACCACAGCGAGCGAGGAGAGCAAACAGCTCTCTGAACAGGAAATATCAATGTTATTCCAGAGGAAACGCTCGCTAAAGATGAAACAATAAAATTGGGTTCATGTGCTCTATAGGAGACCTTACAGCTATTTTTAGAGGAGTTCTTAGCTCCTTTGGCTGGAAGACATAAACCACAACTCAACTCAAACAGGAAAGAAGGTGTCAAAACAGAAACAAGCATTCCTCACAGCTGTGCTCTGGCCAGATAGAAATGAAAGAAGGGTGAATACTAGATATAGTGCTCTTATCCCTAGCAGTTTCAGGCTTGCACTTACTTTTTCGTTAAGATGTGTGATGTTCTTCTCAATCTCATTGTTCATGGACAGAACCCACCACTGAATCATCTTAAAAAATTCTCTAGGTTCCACCCTGGAAAAAAAAAACCAAATCCAGAAACAAAGTGACCTCTAGTGCACCAGACCTGAGGATCTCCCTTTTGCTTCCCAGCTCAAGGAAAATAACATATTTTAGTACACCATATGCTGGAAACATGACAGGCATTTTTGTTAATGATATAGTTGTGGGCAAACTTGGCATTTGCAGGTAATCTCTTACATATATGTTATGCATGTGCTCTGCAAATAATTTATTTCCTGATGATATTTACCAAAGACAGAGCACCACAAGGAGAAATATGCCCCCACAGATCTGACTGTAAATGAATCACATATTTTGGTTTTTCTTCAAATGTCAAGATTTCCCAAGCAGGTGGCAGTTCTGAGGGAGACAGGGATGTTCCAGGAGCAATACTGAAGCCAACAACTGTTTCCACAGATATTGCCAAATCAAATCAAATGAAAGGCAGTCACCAATCATTTTAACACTTCATGCTGATCACATTTATCCCACTGCCAGTTTCTTGCGCCAGGGTCAGCATAAAAGAACATTTATCTTTCCTTACAAGTGTAGTTTAACGTACAAGGTCATCTTAGATACAATTAACACATCTGTCCTTATGGGAAATGTGGTTCCTTATCACTCTCAGCTTCATGCAACTGTCTGGAGCCTATGCAGCTCATCACTGCATCCACCTGGGCCAGCCACCCAGGAATCTTGTGATAAAATGCCTACAGCTCAACTTTATTCATGCCAGAACCTCGCTTTGGCTTTTGCACCTTGAATAACCAATCTTCCATACTTCTCACCAAGGCTGTCAAAAACCTAGCTGTGCCTGCAGGGGAAGAAAACATGAATCTTTAATTACAGTTCTTTCAGCCGACAAAAACAAAGCTGAATTCAAAGAGGGATGCCAAGAGGGATAAACAGCCTATGTGGGAACTGGCTACATTTAGGACTAGGAATGAGCTGTTTAGTAAGCCCTAAATTGAAAGCAACCTGAAAGAAAATGGGTTTGATTTGAAGCCCTGACTTTCCTTCTTGTCTTGGCAGATTTGGCTGCCTTGTGCAAAAAGGCTTAATGTAACCCTTAAAAACAGCTTTGCGGTTACAACTCAATTCTCCACAGATGCAGGTGATACAGTATGCACAGATGTGCAAAAACGCCTGGACAAGGTAGTAAATGACTTGTTCATTCACTCATCTGGCACATGCCGATGGATTTTATCTTTTTGTTGGGGAATATGTTTGAAATGTAACAATGCTTGCTCTTGATAGCCAATGTTAAAGCTTTTAAATCCTGGTGATGTCCTGGCCTCCATTATATCTTATAGCAAAGATGGCATGTTAAGCACGTGGAGGTGGTGACAATTTTTTAAAATATTTGAATGATGTTGATGCATGGCTCCATTTTCTCACTGTACAGCTGTGGGGCAGAACTGGTTATCTTCTCCTCTGGACTAGAAGTGCAGTGAAGCAGTGTTGGGATGTCCAGACTGGTAAGAAAGTGAAGAGATTACCCTCTGCAGAGTGGAGCCTTTCAGAGCCCCACTGTGGGAGCCCCACTAGCAGGCATTAATTTTTCATGTCCAGGAGTCCAAAACAAGTAGTAGGAATGATAATTCTGAAATCAGAAATGAGTCAAGGTCTTGCAGAGGCAAAGGTTGAGAAGGTTAGTTACAAATTACCCAACAATTGTTTGTTATCTTACTCAGTACATGATAACAACTTTATATCAACAAAGAAAACATGTATTTACATACTTTTTAATCAGGATAATTCAACATCTAGATTAAGATAACTTTGTGTTAGTGATAGGGTAATAAAAAAAGTATTACCCTCTGAGACAGTGTTATCTGGTTAATGATCTTCAAAGTGATGTTTTACTTCACATTTTAAACATCCATTCTTTCATTTTACATTTATTTTCTTTTCCATAAGTTATCCACATAATCACAAACCGCCCACACTCTCTCTGAACATACCACATGACTTCCCTGTGTCATATCCACATTGCATGTTCTTTGCACTGTATCACATTTATAATTTCGGATATTCTTTTTAGATGTGACTGCGAGTCAAGTTTCTTGGAGTTTATCCCTTGAATGCTCTTGATTCCCAGCACATATCTGGGGGTCAGATTTTAACTTTGGAAAAGGCCGGAACAGATTATATCAACTGGTCCCTTATTACCTCCTACTTTCCTGACATCCCCAAGGAAAGATGGAACTACAGAACTGGTCATTCCTTACTGTTATTCCCACTTATCCTTGTATTGTATTGCTGGTAGAGTTTATGTGCCCTTTGGTTGATTTCTGCCAGGGCAGCGTGCTGTGGAGGCAACGCTCCAGCAGAGTCCCAGTGTTGACTGAGCACTGTTTATCCCAACTCCATCCAGTGCTCCTGCAGGCTGGCACTGCTTCTCAGACTTTCCGTCCATCTTAGGTGCACTTCCCTGCTGTACTGCTGTAGGTCTTCTTTTAGCATCTGAAAGGAAAGTAGCAAGCTTGCCATGCCCCCAAAAGTTGGATCACCCCTTGGCTGCGACAGAAAGGTGATGGGAATCAGGTAAAAGAAGTGTGAGGAATCCATGAGCATAAAGATGTTGCAGTGAGTGGACAGCACAATAAACTGGAACCTTATTGGTGACAATTCTGAGTGCTTCTATGGGTTAATACCATTTATCAGTCACCAGAGCTGTCAGGTAGACAGTGCTCAGATGCACCACTAAGTCTGATGCACTGGCCAAACCATGATATTGGTTAGTTATAATTTCTCATGTATAGACTCTCAGCTTAAGCTTCAGCACAAAAGACTTGAGCTGATAAGCTTTCTTTCACATTTGTGATGGGCAGAGATGCTAACACATGGGAATTTGCTGAGCAGATACCACTCAATAATATGACCAATGCCCCCAAATCTTACATTTATCAGGTTCTTAGTATCTTGTAGGATTTCATCCAGTAGCGTTTCATTCATTGGAGAGGAGCCAGAGCAGAGGAAAAGAAGGGATGAGAGCTGAGAGAAAAAACTCCTTTAGTATCCAAGGTAAAACCAAGAGTCAAGATATATACTCTACGCATACCAAGTTTGTGATACAAATTGTAACTTGAAAGAGAAGTAAAACCCACCAGGCCCTACTCAGCCAGGGATTTTTATTCTCTCACTCAACATAACACAAACATTGTGTGTCAGTTAAGAAAATATGTTACTTCCAGCAAAGATGAAAATCAAATTCAAGCATATATTGAAAATGCAGATATTATTAACTCTGTGATTGAAATCTATAAAGTGATGTCTTTTGTTAATGCACATGCTGTGTATATTTCTGCATTTTGTACTTGCATTTATGCTTTGTTTTATTTAAAATATCACAATGAACTAACAAAAAGCCTGCAAAATATGACCTTTACGCAGAAGACAACTGGGTTTGAAGCTTCATGTGTCTCAGAGTCTCACATCTGTACATGAGAGAACTGAATGCTCTATTGAAGCACTAATGCGTGTGCATTCTAGTTAAAATGAACCAAACTAAATAGAAGAATTCTGTTACAGCAATGACAGCTGCACAAAGGACACTGGTTTGCAGCAGGAGGGTACAATCCTTGCTCCACTGTATTCAACCACAAACCCACTGGAGTTACCGTTAGGGACCTGATGATCAAAATAAACGTGTCAATCAGAAAAGTAGAGCAGTGAGGGACATGCAAATATCAGACCATACCAAATCTCACTACACCTGGGAGTCAGTGCACACTTTGCACGGGGCCAGTGAGACCTACTGTCACAAGGCAAAGGTTGAGGGAGCTGACTGCTACCCCTGGTCCCTCTGGGCCACTCACAAGCCACTGCTGTGGAAGTATTGAAGCTGCTTGTTGAGGCTGCTGCAGACAATTTGCAGTTTTCCCTGGATGGACTCCTTGCAATGCTCTATTTCAGCTCCAATGTGACTCAATCTCTCCCTGAACTGCTCAGTCTCTTCCTGCAGATCAGCCAGGTCTCCTGTGTCTTGCAGGCACTGGGCAAGACAGTGGGAAAAGAGACTTGTTGTCATGATTATTTCAATGTGAGTTTGGAGGAATTGTCCCTTTGCCCTAGCTATTTTGAGATATGTACATATCAGAGATCTGGGAAATGTCTGTAATTCCACAGCACAGTCCTCACAAACCCTCTGAGAAAGAACTAGGGTGGCTCACCCTCCCCAGGCATGCTAGAACTGAGAGCTTGACTCTTTGTTTGCTTGTATGCTACCAAGAGACCGTACAGCCCCCTATCCATGAGGCCAAAATTACACTAATTACAACTAGTTTTGGTTTTGTAGAGAAGGAATGGGGTGAGGGAAGAAAGCCACAAAAAAAGGGGAAACAGAGAAAAAAAAGTTTGAAGTAGAGAAAAGGGGACTTGGAATAAAGAGAGAAAAGCAGACAGAGACTGAACTCATTCAAATTTTAATGCTTGTTTGAAACTAGACCATGATTTGGACCAAGAAAGCCAAAGTAACTAATGCTTTACTGAGACCTGTAGAGCTACATAAATCACATATACACACAGTTTCTACAGGTACCTATCACAGGCAGGTCCCTACCTTTGAGGCCAAGAGGACTATGAAATGCTTGAGAATGTTGGTCAGTGTCTTTTCACTGACATGGAGCCTACAAACCAATGTCAGCTGGTCTCTGTCTATTATCTGAAAGAAACGTTATTATCTGCTTTGTTTTCTTCTGAGAGGAGAGGCATCTGACAGTAACATGGGAGCTCTACCATAAATGAAATGAAGATCAAGTGATTGAGTCCACTTTCCTTATAATTAAATCTCTAGCCTCCAAGACAGCCCCAGACTTGAACGGCATGAAGTAGGAGATCATAAAAGAGGGCGACACAGAAACAAGAAAGCACAGAATTAACCAAGAATGATATTTTGTGAGGAAGTGTAAGAAATCTGGCTACGATATTCTAAGTTGTGAGGAATAGGAAACTTCTTAGTCAAACTGATCTCTGAATGGAAATATTAACTTCACAGAAGTTCTTCCCTGCACGGAACCTGGAGATCCATACCAAAAATGCTGTGTGAATTAAGCGTTTTCTGTTTAAAAACCACACATGTGAAATACAACAGACCTCAGAAAATGAGGTTAGGGCAGGTAGGAGATGTGTTACTACCCAATCGTATAGAAAAAAATTGCTCTTTGTGATGAAATCTGCCCTTGGAACAAGACTGCTAGCTCTAATGGCTTATACCTTGCAATGTATGAGAGATCTCCTGCACCTACCTTCAGATCCAGGTCATACACAGCTGAGCTGCAAGCATCTCTCTCTTGGGCTAGCAGCAGAACTTGCTCTTCCAGTCGTCTTCCTGCAACTCGTATAACTGCTGATCCTTCTAGCTTTTTGGAAGAGTGAAAGACAATGAAATATGTTCATCTGTGTTTCTCATTCACATTTACCATCTTTCTCTGAATTCCTAAAGCTTTTATTAGACATTTCTTCTTCCTCCTTCCTTCCTCAAGTCACCTCCCACACAGCCTGCAAATTCACAGGTCCTTTTCCGCGAGCCCCTACATCTTTCTGTTGATACTCCCATTGCGAGTTTCCAATCAGTATAAATACAGATCTCTGCTGGGACTAGACTATCTGTTTCCCTCATGACACAAGGTTCCTGTAAGTGAATCTGCGTGCCTACTCGCTCATCATAACTCTGATACCAACCACCTAAATCCCTGATTTCTTAAGTATCTGAAAACATCCACAGGCCCCTCAGAAGTTCAGAGCTTTGGGGTCTGCTAGACTATGAGGAACTCACTGGCTGTGAATGTGGGGTGAAGGAAAAGGAATACCAGCACCTGAGCAACAAATGCAACTTTCATGACTTAAAACTAGAATGCTTTGAACAGCTTTCTATCTCTTTGAGGAGTTTAGGATTTATAGCAAATTAACAGCATTTGTCATAAACAGCCAAGCTCTTTCCCCAGAATGAAACCAGTCCTCACTTCTCCTTCCCAACAACCCTGAGACAACAATACCAGCATGCTGCAGAAAGTTCCCAAGCTCAGCTTTGAAAACAACTTTGCATTTGCCTTAGCTTCCTGCATGTCTGCAGCTAGCTCCTCTTGAGCTTTTTCTGCTTCTTTGGTCACCTTGTGGTCATGTTCTCGTACCTTGTACAGCTCACTGAAATAGCAGAGAACAGTCTTAATGCAACTTAACCCAACACAGAAGTCTCTACTCTGGCAAATACAGATTGGTGGGCCCTATGCTATCACATGGGGCTCTCTTCCTCCAACACAATCATCTCACTGTAGGTGTGAAAGGCATCTTGAAGACCTCCTCTTCCCATGAATGCACGTTGCACCAACAACTCTTTTCTGCAGTCTCCCACCAATGAACCTCCAGCGTGCTAAGAAAAGGAGGTGGCTTTGACATTATTTGGCACCAAGAGGATGCAGTGAGAGTGTGAGGAGTCTCAGGTGTCGTCCCTGTAGGTCTGCTTCAAATCATAACACTGTCTCCCTGCTCCTACGGGAGGAAGATTAAAAAAACAAACAAAAAAAAATCAATGGACTAAGCCTAGGGCATAGAGATAATTTCCTAGGATCAAGGAGGATTCAGACCTGGCCAGCTGTCCAACAGTTTCTTTAAAATAGAGGAGTTCCAACTGCTGTGCCATCGTTTGTTTGCAAAGGGTCTTCATCTGTTCAGGAATCTGCTCCAAGAGACTCATGCACCTCTGCCTGCAGTAAAATGAGTAAAAAAGGGTATTTACCTGAAAGCACAGATCTCTTACACCATCTGAAGACACCTTACTTTCACTGCACAGGAAGGTACTTAGAAGGCAATCTTCTGAGTGTTTGGACTGGGGATTTTAATAACCCTGGAACAATTTAATTGCTACAAATAGTGGTAATCTGAACATGGAACCCTGGCCATATTCTATGTGTGAAAACTTCCACTAAAATGTCACACCAATAAGGTGCCCACACTGTCAAGTGTGGTGACAATGCCACAGACTTCTAGCTTCAGGTTTCCTAACAGAGACTGGTTAGCCCCATCTTTAAACTAGGCGAGGAAATCCTATTTCACTCCTGGCATCAGACCCCACACCAGTTACGGGCTACCTTGGCTGGGCCAGGACATTAGGAATGATCTGCAATAGCTGATGCCACTCCCGAGAAGGCGCTGTCATGAATCAAGAGAGGGAATAAGGGTTGGCTAATGATGACCTGAGCTTTGAAAGCAGCTGTTCTCTCTCCATGCAGTCCACGCTGACCTGCCGAATCAGCTCATGGTAAACGATGTTGCAGATGTTCTGCTCTGCCTTCATCAGCTCCAGTGCATTGTGCAGCTGGCAAAGTGGTGAGAAAAATCACAGCCTTGCAGAGCCTGGTCAGCCTACTCCTTTAACAACAGATCAGCACAGGTCTCATTTCTTCTGTTGTAGTTTCCTTCTGATGCCAAAACACTAGTAAAGGTAGAAAGGGGAATGGAAAGAGCCATCCTGCATGCATTCACAGGTTTGTTTTCAAACATGTTATGCACTATCCTGACTCCATGGGAGTTTCTCTGCCAGTTCCAGCTGGAGTTCCTTCTGAGGCAATGCTCTGCATTTTTCAAAAATCCTTCCCCCCCCACCAAGGAAGAATAAAAGAAAATAGGGCAAAGAAAGGTACAGATGTTCTCTGACATCTGCTTTTTTGGGGTATGAAGGTTTCCAATGGCCCATTTTGTAACACAGCAGCCTATCTTCCAACAAAGAGTTGAGACAGCTACTGCCTTCATTCTTCCATAGTAATAATACCGAATGCATTCCTTTCTGGCATTTTTGCCAGAAATCTAACTTTCTACACCAGCAAGTTAAATGTTTGTTCTTCGTGGATCAGACAAAGATGAAAAGAAGCTCAGGAGAAGAAAATCCTGGTTATTACAAGACCTACAGGCAGCCAACTTGGGCAGAAACTAGCTTCCAGCAGGCACCTTAAGCAGAGTAGGGAAAAAAAGATGTTATTTTTCTGGGTGCAAGAAGTTATTTACTCACTTATACTAGTGAGTTATCCACCTGTGAAGGTCCTGTTACTCTGATTAGCTTGTCTTCTCCAGCTTTTTCCAACATGCTCTCCATCACTGGATGACCTCTAGCCTCCCAGAAGGATTTCTGACAGACCAGAAAGTGACACATCATTATTCTGTATAGCATATTATAATATTTGCCCAGGAAATGGCTGTTTTTTTCCAACAACTTCATGCAGGGTAGTACTTGCATGGATTGAAACATGTTTCTTTTTCACAGTCTTCAAGCATGCTGTGTATTTTCTGAAATGAATACCAATGTTAGAACTTGATTACAAAGCAATCCTTCCAATGCTAGCTAAGGGATCCCATACTCTCCTGCAGTCTCTCTGTCCCATGTACAAGCTGATTAAAGTTGGAGAGGCAGACAGGTTTACAGGGTTGCTCTTCAGTGAGAGCATCCAGAACCTAATGAGAGAATTGGACCTTCTGCAGCTGTTCCCCCAGCTGGAGCTCCTTCTTATTGCTACTAACAATAGAAATCTTGTAGGAACCTTCTCTCATTAAGGCCTCTCATGGTACTTGGCAAAGAAGTGACCAATGGATTTAAAAGTTACTGGTGGGGCCAGAAAACCACCACATACCCACATCACACCCACCTGGAGGCTGATCACAGGAGACCATTGAAATAATAAGATAATGTTCTGTTACATCATGATGGCAAAGAAGCTGTGAGGATTTCACCCCTAATCTTAGAATTTTAGTCATTGAACAATAAGATAGAACCTACTTTTCAATTTATTACGTTTTCTGGAGAGATCAAGTGGAATCTCAGTAGCCTTTATTGGGTGAGGCTTAGTAAACTCAATTAAAAATTCACAGCCTGAAAAACTGGAGGGGTGGCAGGGAGAAGAAAAAAAAATAATCACAAACAAAAAAAACCCACGACCCCCAAGTGGTCAGATTCAAGATGCTAGCAGGTCTATTCAAGCATAAAGCAAGAGTAAGCTTGGCAGGCTCTGGGTAGGTCTTTGTGGCAGAAAGCAATTCTGAAAGAAAAAAAAAAAAAAAGAAGCAAAAAACTTCCAGAAGTTGCCTCAAGAGATCAAACCAGACTTCGACTTCTATGTTCATGTCCAACTACCAAAACACCCCTGAGAAGCAGTACTCGTATACAGGAAATTCTATTAGCCACCCCAACACAGCAGGTACAAAGAAAAGGAGGGTCACCTTGCTCTGCAGGGTTAACGATAGCCTGGTCGTTAGCATGGGACTTTGCGCAACCTTCCTTTTATACTCTTCCCTTCCCAACAGCAAGAGAGGTATTTGGGCAGCGTCCTCAGACTCTCATCACTTTATCCTCCTGCTCTGAACAGTTGAGGACAAACCCTTGTGAACCAGAAATCACTCAATGATTGAAGTACTTCAAGGGCAAAACTCCCTGGTTCTTCAAGATGTGAAACTCCTTGGGAACCAGACTATCTGCTAGGGCTGCTCGTTAGGGATGGAAAGAGAGAGATCATGAAACATCAGCCTAAAAGATGTGCACAAACTCCCAGTTCCTTCCCACAGAGGACACAGGTTTGGCAGCTAGGAGAGGGAAGCTCACGTAGAGGCTTTTCATGGTGCTTTTCCCTTTTCTACTCCAGGCATCCAGAGCCTGACAGAAACAACCTACATCTGAAAGCAAATTGAAACAACTAACACTGAACTGCAGTGGGGGAGCCAGAGGGCTGGAGTCGCAAGGACTGCTGCTGAGTTTTATGATCAGGGTGACATCAGGACACGTGTATGCGGATGTCCCTTCTCCCAGCTAGTGATACACACAGGAAAACGCCTGAGCAGCAGCACTCAGGAGAACATGTAGGGCTATACGACGGCTCCCTCTGATCCTGACGACCCTCAGAAAAAGAGCTTCTGCCAGTCATTGCTTTCTTAGCTTCTTGGCCAGTTGCAACATCGCACAGGTAAGAGACATCTCTGAAGGAGAGGAAAAGAGCTTGATTACTAACCCACCCCACAGGTAGTCCACTGTTTCCTTACTGCCGGTCTAAACCACACAGGTTTGTTCTGCTCAGCCTGAGGCCAGGCTTATGACCAGGACTCCCTTCCCTGGGCCAAAAAAGACAGATGAGTTTATCTTTTTCAGGCAGATTAACCTCGCATTGACTGTTGCTAGCCAAAGACCATTTTTCATGTCTGCTGCCAACACCCTACCGCATACATATCCAGCGTTTGATAAAGAGCAAAATATTTGTCACTTTCTAGCACCATTAAGCATCGCTTATTTACAAAGAAGTTTAAAGCTATTCCCTAAGTCAGAAGAGTTTCTTTTCTTAATCATGGATCACAGAGCATCCCTGCGATCATCCTGTGAAAGGACAGTTCAAAGAATTGCTCATTTTAGTAACTCTTATATTTATTATTCCTGAAATATCTTTCCCTCGAATCTCTCCAGCCCAAACTCAGACAGGACATCTGGTCCATTCATCCAGCTGCATAAGATGGCACAGCCACCCATCATAGGAAAAGATCTGCGTTTCCAGCTCTAATGTCTTTCCATCATCCTGGGTTCCTTCTCCCTTTTCTGCTTACCTTCTAGTGCCTATCAGACTGACAGGATGGTCTGTCAGGTGTCTGAACTTGTTCTGACAATTAGGATAATGCCAAAGCCAAGCCAGGGTTTGCAGGCACCCTGCAGACAAGGCACATGTGGCTGTCACTTCTTAGCGAGAAACGTGCCCAGGAGTGGGAGACATCAGTATGGCTGTCTAAACAAGCTCTGCATCATTATTTCTGTCTTGGGGCTAAAGAAAGCAGCATGGACAAGACAGCCTCTGCAAGGACTTCACAGCAGCACCAGGGTGCAAGCAGGTTTTGCAGGGACTGGAAGGCAGCACTTTGGATCTGCATCAAATGGCATAGTCAGAAAAGTGATGCAATGTAAGATAAATTTATTTTAGGAGGTCGGCAAACTTTCCTTCTGCCACACAGGGAATGAACACACGCCCCCAGCGAAGAGATGATTCTGGACAGGAAAAGACAGGAGATGGAAAAACACTCACCCTGAATCCCATTGTGGTTTTGGTGGTTTTCAGGGACCATAAGTGCTCTAAGCTGTAAAGAGTACTACTGGCACAGGTCAGGCTTCAGAAAACCTCTTCTAGAACAAAACTGTGCTCCAGGGAGGAAGAAACAGGCCTGATGTGGTCAAGCATCCTTGAGTTACTCCTCAGCTTGGGGATCTCTGTAAAACAGCATGTCAGGACAACTTCAACAGCATTTATTCTGCTGGTGAAAGAGGAAGCAAAACCAATGATAGAATACAGGCCTGAGAAAAACTGTGACAAGATGTTTACCACCTTACCCCAAAGCATGGTCTAAAACACAGGGAGCTAATCCTATTTTAGTGGTGATTAGATCTTCAGCGAAGCCTAAAACAATAGTTACCTTCTACCTATAGGAGATAAAGCACTGGTCATAGGGCTGTTGTGCCAAGCTGTCAGGTACACAGGTTGCCAAGGGATGCTGTGAACAACTAAACTTTCCTTGTTTTCATAAAGCCATTTCCTTTCTTGTGGCTTGCTAGCCGTTGGCTTTCTGCAAACATAGGAGTGCCCTAAAATACCAGCAATTGCCTAAATGAAAGTAAAACTTCATGCGGAGAAGCATCCTGCTGTTAAAGTGAAGCTGGAAGGATGCTGAGTCAGCTGTACAACCCCCCTAGCCCCGAGTCCTACCTCAGCTGTCCTTGCTGATTGAGCCTCCCTGCCAGGCACCCCTCCGTTTCTTTCCATCTGCTTTCGGGCCAAGAAACTGACATTCCAGTTGTGGGCATCGTGAAGGCTTATTTTATTTTAATGCTTAGCCAATGAAATATGCAGTAATGAAGGATCTAGAAACAGAATTAAACCCACATTTGTGCTTAACAGGGTTAACAGCTTACTTACGATTGTGGAAAAAAGCCCTTAGGCCTGACACAAGGTACACCAGTCAGGAAGAAGCCCCCAATGCTTTGCTACATTCTCCATAGGGATGCTTGTTTTTCCATCTACAAACTGCATGAAGAACAAGTCTTTCTTTTATATATTTAACTGTATGTCTCCAATTATTAATCTTAACACTTTTTCTCCTTAGAAATATCTTACTAATGGACAAAAATAATATTTCCATTAGTTACCTAATCTCCATGAATTCTTATCTGAAGCTTCCCCCTCCACCCCCCAGCCTTGTCAATATATGTTCTTTATGAAGTGCTCTTGGTATGAAAATGTTTTGGCCTTGCTACCAGTTGTATCCTTCTGTACTGTGGTTTCTAATTAGGTTAACAACATTTCTATGCCTTCACATTTATGTCTGAGGGTGTAGGTATAATCTGGGAGTCATCCTGCCAGGTAGTTTCTTGTCTTGCTGCATACATAAATGGTTTATTGGAAAGAAACTATGCAAGTTTGCTAAAAAACAACTGATAGAAGAAAACTCCCCCCCTTTAACAGCTCTGTTTGGCAGTACATGATATTCCTGCCAGAAAGGATGGGAAGATTAATGGCACCATTCTGTACCAGCTACAGTTTAAGGACACAGACAAGAGTTGACTTTAAAGCATGTGGTGCACAGCTGGAAAATATCACATTAAGTTCTTGGCACACAAATCCTTTTCAGTCCCAAAATAAAGGCAGAAACCACCAAGATTATATACATTTGGCAGTAGCTCCAATTTAATATACATTAAATTGGGAGAGGTTAGAAACTCTGGTCTGTTCCAAGAGTTAATCAACTCCTTCCCCATGTTCCTCTCCAGCACTTCCAAGGACATCCTCACTTCTTGGAGACGTGATGGCCAGTACACAGCTTCTCAAACCCCAGCTGCCCTTCCCAGCTGGCATTTCCTGATTCTTTTTAAAACCTGAAGAAAGGCTTGTTTAAAAGCTCCTTCTTCCACACCCAGTCAAGGAAGATGTCCCCCTGCTCTCCAGCATCTCCAGGTTTGGGTCTGCCACAGCCTGGCTGCCTCCATCCCTGTCCTCCTTGCCCTTGGAAAAGGGGAAGACTTGCAGCCCCAGTGAGGGCTGGGGGACCTCCTAGCCTCAGGCCACCCTACCTCCACCAGCCTGCAGCCCCTAGCCCCCCAAGATGGCCCAGCTCCACCCTCCCCACACAGGGATCAGTAGAGGGGCTCCCCAGTACCTGACAAGCAGCTCCACACTGGTTCCGTCACCATGGAAAGACAGGGTTCTCCTCACCTCCTGGAAGATGCCCTCCCTCCCTGCCCCCAGCCCCACAAGGCTCTGACCCACATCATCTCCCCCCAGCAACCACTTTCCCATACCTCACCCTGCCCACAAGCCCCACTCCCCTATGCCCTTTGCACAGCGACCTCCCTCCCCCTCACCCCTCCAAAATCAGGAAGCCTCAGAGAAAAAAAAACAGGCCAAGGCAATTTTTTTTTCTCCCTTAATAGCAAAATATATTTCAACTGCTGCAATACAGGAGATTATAAACAGCTCTTCTGCGTGACAGGACAGGGTACAGGTCGCATACAGGGAAGGGCTGGTGCTGGGGCCTGGGCATGCAGCAGCATGTGGGGGCTGCCAGGCAGTCCCCAGCCTGTGACCCAGTGCTCTGCTGCAGCAGGCAAGGGGCAGCCGTGGCTTCTCACCCCAGCTGTGAATGCAGGAGGAAAGACCAGGACGAAGGCTCAGAGGCTGGGACGAGAGACCAGGAGCCGGCTCATAACCCTGATGCTGCAGAGCACGGGGGCTTGCTCATGCCGTGCCACATTCAGAAGGTGGGAGCTCACACAGTTGGGCTTTCATTTAGCAGGTGGGCCGATTCATGTAACGCATGCCGTTTCTGATTAGAAAAATACATCAGGATTTCCCCCCCCTCCCATCACAGCACGTAGCACATGTCTTGGACAGCTGTCACAGGGTAGCACACAGCAGCTCAGATGCAGGGCTGCTCCACCCCAGGAGCCTGGAACCAAAATACCCCAACAGAAAGGACGTACTAGGCATGAAGACTCTGCGCAGGTTCAGTCTTCCTGAGAACAAACTGTTATCCACGTGAAAACCTGGACACATTTCACCATATTAATACTGATTTCTGTGATGTTGCTGAGTAAGGAGCTGCAGCTGTACTGGCTGCCATTCCAAAGCTGGAGGCTTCCCACTTTAAAACTGAGGGAGTTACCGTGGAAGCAAGCTGCACAGTTCTTGTGTTGGAAAGAGCCACAGACAACAGTATGTATTATTATTAAGAACTTGCGAAGGGCAGGTTATGAACCTTAGCATCCTCATTATTGACCAGAACACCATACTGCTAGCTCTGGCACTCACAGCCTATGAAAACTCAAACAAACGCAGTGTAATTGACTAATTAGACATACAGTGTGCAAAAGACTTGGTATTTCCCCTCCAGCACTCTTGACAAAAATGAAAATAAGACCACATTCAAAAGTAATTTTAAAAACCCATGAAATTGAAAGTAATCCCAACTGTTAATGCCCTGACAGCATGGTTGCCAGATGCCTTGATCTACAAGGCTAAAAACATCAACTTGTCAAAAACTAAGGCTAGTTCCAATAGCTGAGCATTCCTTTCTGGTTGCCTTTTGCTTGCCAGATGCTCAAGCCCTCAGGCTTCAAACAGCAAGAATGCTGACACAGTAAATGATATTCTTTGTTAGGAATATGACAATTCCAGCTGCAAGAGAAAACACCAGAACTTGGCACAAAGTGCCATAATTTGATCTCCATTTCAGAATGCTGAGACAGCAGCAAAACCTTACACAGGCATCAAGAAGACAAGTCCCTAATCCATCACACCCTATTTGACTGCAGTTACATCTGTACAAAAGTGTTTTGAGCACCACAAAGCACTGGACTGAATTTCATCCTATACTAAGGAGTTCACAAAATTTGGCGAGAGTGGTGTTTTGTTTTTTTTTTTTCCAAAAGGAAGCTTAGTTACTTCAGCACTTCTGTCCCTTCCTCCCACAAAAGGTATGGTGAAAGATTTCAGATTAAATCAAACATAATGAGGATGAAGTAATTAATTTTGTTCTCAGGATTTTATATATTAATACTGCCAAGTTTGAGTATATATATGAACTCCTTCCTCTGAAATTAACCCATCTGTTTCAACAAACAAGTTCTAATACCAGATATTTTCAGAAGAGAGCCACATACACACTGTATTTGGCAAATTTGACCTGACATCCTTTCTGAAGAGTGGGATTCCTTCTTAAAGAAAACTGAAAACCTGGAAGAGTTTAAGTATCACCTAGGTTTTATGAAATTACTTTTGACTCAGATTTGTAAAAACAGAAACCCAGAAGACAGTCTGAAGTGGATTGGGAGACAAGTCTGTCAACATACTGCTGGCATCAAATACCTATGCTGAGGGTCAGTAAGGAAAAGCTGTCACCAAAAAGTGCCAATAAAGAACACTCGAGTAGTTCAGAAATGCCTGTGACCAAAGTTAGGGTACCTCCACCAGGTTACCCTCCCTCTCCAATAATGGGAGCCACAGTTCCAGTAAAACTGGAGAGATATGTACCCAGATACCATCGAAGTTGTGCTTATCATCTGACAGAAGAAAACTGAAGGGGACTCTGCCTAAATAACAGATATTGTAACACCAAATTCACATAATGATTCTCCCTTTAGCAGTGTGTATGGGAGGATGTCCTACCTCTTCAGAAAGAGGGCATTACCCAGGAAACTGATCTGCACCCAAAGTCCCCACTGACAGGAGAGCAGACACAGGCAGATGAAAAAGCAGCTCTGACTCCAGCCACTGGCTCAACCCACATTTCCCACTGACTGCATTAGGAGCTGCTACAACACACATTGGCAAGAGGCAGCAGGACATCCTGGCTTATTGAACTGGACATAGCGATTTCAGATGAGAACACACTATGTACCTGTGAAGTCGATTGCATTTCCTTACAGTTGGGTAGCAGCATTTCAAATCTTTCGCACTAAAGAAAGCCTTAACAACTTGTACACCTTAAAGCACCTGCCAAAACAAAACAAAAGCTCTTTTACAAGTTAATTGTGTTAAAAGAAGTGATTATCTGAAGCAAGAGAAAGGAAAAGCTAGAATAAAATCTATTCCTCAAGTCTCAAAGGCTTTCAGAGAACAAAATTGCTATAAGTCAGTTAGAAACTTAATGAATACAGAAAAAACATAAATTTTCAGTGTAAAAAGTCATATGAGGACTGCACATGCTGTGCCCTGCTTCTGAACCTGATTCTCCAATGAAGCCATAAGTAAACTGATAATCCCCTCTTCCTCTGCCCATTTTAAATCTGTAGGCAGCCAACATACATAGATACAGTTCAAAACCATCCAGGAATACTTTGGCTATTTTCAGAGCAAGGAAGCAAATATCCTGTTGCTCTGCCACTTGTCCGCACCATAGCAGCGGACAAGATCACAAAGAATGTAAGTTTTGTATTATAGACATCCCATTGCCAAAAGGGAGAAAAAAAAGATTGCAAAGGGATGGCTAAGGAAGATGGACGGAGGCCAACAATGAGCTACTAGCAAAAATCTGACTAGGCTATCTATTGTCCAGAGAAGCAGCAGCTTGAGGGATCCCTGGATGAGTAGGATTCCAGTAGACTCCACCTTCAGCTCAATGTTTTACTGGCATGGAAATGGCTCAAAGTGGGACAGCATGTAGTAGATGCTGCCTATGAAGCCTGTTGCAATCCAGGTCAACTGGTTTGCCTCATTAATGTTTAAAAAAATTACAGTTTCTCCCCAATAATCAGGAGGCACAACTTCCCTTAGAAAAAGTCCGTAGTGAGTTAGGTCACTGGTCCAAATACTTGGAGGATAACTGATTTTCTGTGATGACACAGCCAGAGCATACTATTTTTTACATCTTCATATGACATGACCATGAGCGTGGTTTTAAGTAGTCCAGGAATGTGGGCTGAAAAACATGGAGAGGCAGTAAATTAGTCACAGGCAAACAGCACCCACTGTGGTGTGGTCCGCTGAAGTCAAACTTCCCTAACAGGAAAGATCAAACCACATTTTCACATCCTGCAATCCTATTCTTATCCTCCCTAAACAGTGTGGCGATAGCCACAAGCTGTCGGCCTGCCTTTTCCCCCAGTTCTGATACATCAGGTAAATGCTGTGTCTAGTAGCAGGTTGTATCAAGAAGCCAGTCATTTACCATGGCAAACTCTTTTAACTGAAGGGAATCAAACTTAAAGTAAGAGTTTGCCTGAGGATACCTTTAGTTAAAACTGAAATCAACTACAACAACAAGAAGTTTTAAGTACAACAGAATCTGGTGCCAAGAAAATTATAAGTCAGAGAAACTAACACCAACAAAACCCCAAACTGACCATTTATAGGCAACCAATTCTCACTGCCACCCACTCTAGCTTGGGAGAGACACAACAGGCTCAGTTTCTGTGGGCCTCCTAGAGAAGTTTCTCCTGACCTCATTGGCCAAGGGCTGCAGTTCCATTCACACAGCCTGAATGGCCTAGCATACTCTCAAGTAGTGAGGTTATGTCCTCAGAAATGTGAGAAAAAACACTCTCAGTTTCAGTACTACCAGCATAAGAGCAGCGCAAATGAAAGCACTTTTGTCAGAAAAAGGTTTCCTAGATTCTCTACACTTTCTAGACTAAGTAACTCCTAATGAACCGATACAGCATACAGCCAGAAAGGCTCATGCCACTTCTGCCCTTTTCTGCAGAGGACAAGCCACTCGTGTGGTCAGTTATCCCACAGGAAGGGTCAGCCACTCACATTTTTCATAGGGCAGTACTGGCGGGCATACCACTCCTGGCTGTAGAGGCAAATGATGACACCTTGGCCCAGGAAGAGGGATGTCCACATGATCACGTTCCAGATAGGCCCTTTCCGACGATCATTAAGGATGAAGTTGAAGACCACTGGAAGGGTGAAACGAGAAGCATTGTTCAGAAAAACTCAAGATTAAAGAAACAAAGACCAACTGATTTAACATGATCTTTCCCTCCTTTCACTTCATCTCTGGAGCAACCTTTGCTCCATGAGGTCAGTATAGTGCCAGAAAATCTGATTATGCTTGGCATTAGAGCACATACTGTGAGTTGATTTGGACATTTCCTTCCAATAAGACTGCCAACAACCTGGCCCAACTGTATGCCTCTGGGGATCAGTATTGTTAGTGTTAATGCTGGTGACCAAGACATGCTGGCAGAGGTGACCTAGAGTTTATTAGAGCCCTATAACTCATTCTAGCTCAAAATCCAGAATGAAATGCAAGAGCTCTAACTTCTAAATGGGCGCTCTCCCACGCTGCAGTAGCAAAGTAAAACTTGTCTTACACTATGACTTTAAAAAGGAAGACTTCCAGCCTGCTGACATGCAGCAATTCAACTAAAGCTTGGCAAAGAGGAAGCAGCGCTATTAAAATATGTACGGTGTCACATGAACAGTGGTCACTCTGTGTTCCTCCCCATCCATACCTTGCTCCTCTAAGTCCCAAGCCTGCAAACCCACTGTGTATATACATACAGCTATTGAGGTACTTCGCCTCAAAAATCCAGTCACAAAGTTTGGACCCACAATTACAACTCTTGGACAAGAAACAGTTCTGTGTGCTAGTGCCTAATGGATAACTGGCATCAGAAAAGCAAAGCATACTTGTTCAAAAAAACCAAAAAATCCACAACCCAATTCCCCTCTCCTGGGAACTTACTTCCAAAGCACATAAACAGGCAAAAGAGGACTGGATAGAAGTAGCCGAAGCAGATGCTCAGAACATATTCGTGCACAGCAGCTGACACTGTGAAGACAGATAGCATAGCTGCTGCTTTGAACTTCTTACCAAAGAACTGGAAGACAGAAGAATACCAAGTATTGTAACTTTTTAGTTCAGCTGTTTCAAGATCGCTTATTTTCTTTGGTGGTGGTGGTGGTTTGGGGGGGGCTGGGGTTTGTTTTGTTTTGGGTTTGGTTGGTTGGGTTTTTTTAACCTGAGGTAAGAGGTGGCTGCTCCAACCAAGATGCATATATGAAACGCTAAGTGCTTTACAGAGTACCTTGGATTTTAGGTGTTTTTTTTCAGGCATATTTCTGGTGTCCTGCATAAATACTCAGGTTGAGTCCACTCATGAAATATCTACCATAGCTCAAAATAGCGCAACATGAGTTCATACTGTTGAGTCAATCCTTACACTCCTATGTTTCAGACCCATATTTTGTGCACAGTAAGGTCTTGGAAATGAGCACTGGATCCCTAAAAAGCACAGTGGCTACCCACAGCAGCTGAGATAAGACATCTTTGTGCTTCTCAATTGACAGTGATGCTGCATCTTGACAAATGTACAGTCTGGCTCAGTGGTTAAATGTTTAATTAACAAAAAGAATACATCTGCTTGCTACTCACCCAAAGGAAGTCCCTGTAGGCATAGTAATAGAGCCAGTCATGTACTACCACATTCCACGTTCGGTAGTAGTTTGCATAGGAAGTGGAGTTCCACCAGTCCTGAAAGCACAGTTGAAACAGTAAAAATCTAATTAAGCATAAAACATTTTACAGGATTCTTGGATATCAAGTTGAGAACTACTGATCAGAATAATACCAGGCTACTATAACAAGTTGCACTGCAAAATAATGCATTCCATTGCACTTTATACATTTTATTCTGTATATCAAAGCTTCATTTTATCCCAACTGCAGTGGCTGATAAAAGCATAAAAATAGTGCTAACAGAGCTATTGGGTAGGTCTGGTGGCTGGTTCTGTTCATGTGCAGGGTATATTACCTTAAAAACAATTCAGACTGCCAAGTACAAATCAGATCTATTCTACAGCACAGCAACAAACTTAAGCCCTAAAGGCATAAAACAAGCAAAACACTGTGGGTGCTTCATTTGGTAAAAATAACCTTCAGCTTACTTCTCTTTCCTTTTCATTAGGAAAACAAACTTTAAAAGCTCTGTAAATTTTAACTCCTCCTTCTTACCTTGTAGAACATCCTATCTGCAAAGCGCAGCATCTCAGCAAATGCATTAAGCCAACAGTGAAGGAACGCAAAGAAAACCAGGAAGAGAATCAGTACACCTAGAAACAAGGTAGAGTCAGACCTATTCTGTAGTGTTTTTTTCTCAGCTATAAGCAGCAACATATAACACAGTCAAAACTGTTACAGGCACTGACACAGATGAGCTTCGTGCCACCTAAACAAAGAGTAAAAGCATTTCAGTTTCTCACCACACCCCAGAGATCAATAGCAAGGCTGTTGCAGAGGCTAGAACCTGACTTAGAAGATGGTTAAATTCAAATCCAAGCTTTTATTTTGTGTTGCTGATTTTAAAGTTTAACACTGTAATGCTGAAGTCTATCCAGAAGACCCCCTTTGCAGATCTGTGCCTGTCAGCACTTCCCCTCCCATCTGTCTCTTTCACAAAGATATAGTCACTCCTGAATCTGTGTCTTACCTGGCAGAATGGAGTTGAAGATACAGAGGACCAGCCCTCGAAGATTGAAGGTTTCTTGACTACTGTTGCGAAACTGAGGAATGCAGAGTCTCACAAAGATGTAGTAGGCATAGAAAAGTGAACCAAGCACCTGGAACAACAATAAGAAGTCTGACTCCATAAGAGAAATGCACAATTAACACATCACCACTTGAGAGCTCTAGGAGAGGAACAGCAGCTGTCAACACAAGCCACAATTTATTTTACATTGCTGCCAATAAACTTCCCTAAGGGTTCAGGCAGAAAGTAAGCCACAGCCATATCTGTAGCATGTTGACAGCCAGGAGCAAAATCAACTTATCATTTTTACTATAGTAGCTCTAAGTTTCTCCTAGTTGTATCAACTCTAAAGTTATGACAAAAAGATTTAAGCCAATGCCAAAGTAAGTGAAGAAAGTACCCTGTGGTCTAGGTCCAAGACAAGAGCAGAAATAATTGATTAATATCCCAAAGGAGATGTTCACAGGTCAAGCCATCTACGCCTTTCTCTGACTTATGAACCCATGTTCTAGAAGTTGAGGTCAAAATGCAAGACACTGCTTTAAATATTTCAACTGCTGTAAACCAGGTGTGCGCTTTGTCAGCCTCTTTTGTGAAAGAGCAAGAAGCCAAAGGCCTTTGCAGGCTCTGTTTTTTTTTTAAATTATTTTCAATTGCTTTGCTTTTTAAAATATGAATGCATCATGTGACAGTAAAAGTTTCAGTCACACAAAGCCATTAGTTGGCAACACATCCGCAAGAAGCTACTGAAACTCACGTCTAGAAATATGAGGATCAGGTCTACATTAAGCTCAAATAAGCACTGAAGTTTTGGACTCTAGGCACTGTTATTTCAAAACTGGTCCAAATATCTGCCAACAGGTAGCTGAGCCAGTGCATGACAATACATCATCAGTGTAACAAAAGAGGGCCAGAGCATGGATACCGTGCTCCCCACCACATGCAGCTTTTGTTTGTATGCAATGGAGTCTAAAGGCTTGTTTAAGCAAGGATTTTTATTTTTTTTTCCTTTGAAAAGATCACTGTTTCTTTTTTTAGTCACTAAAGTATTCTTTTCTAGTAAGGCTACATCAAGTAAACTGTGATTTAATGCCAAATGGAGAACTGTTCAGCAACACAGTTTAGATGACCTCTGACAATGCATTCTTCAGAAAGCTGCACTACTCACCTGGGCAAACTTGGTAGCCACATAGCTCCATCTTATCACGGGATTCCTAGGAAAAAGAACACATGGTATCATATCTAAATAGGACCTCAAAGCAGCAAAAGCCTCCTTCAATTATTGATTTTAGTGACCTATACTCTGAAAAAAAATGGGGTTTGAATTCCTGAGTTCTTAATCTCCTGACATCCAAGAGATGTCTGCCCAGATTGCTGGTTCCTCACTTTCAACTACAGCAGCAGAACTACGGCAATTCCATAAATGGAAAAGTATCTGGAGGACAGCATTACACAGTTACGTAGGTGGTGACAATCTGCCTGATAGTCATGTAAAGGACTGCTGACTTGACACTGTCAAAGTGCAACCCAGCAAAGTACAGAAAAGTTTAGGACTTCCTAGTTTTAAAGGCTTCAGCCTACTTTGTCAGACTCAGGAAACAGGGCTGCTTATTAGCACCACATCAAACAACACACAAGCCTACTGCAGGAACTGTGCTATCACTAGACTCAGTAGCAAGTTCTTAAATTTGTGCACTTCCCAAAGAAATAAAACCAGAACTGTAAAGGCAAAAATACTATTAGATTTAGAGTGAGTTTTCATCAAGTCCTGCCCTTGCCAGGTTATTGACTTAACCACATCTTTATAAAAGCTCTAACTTAGAAATTTAATAGATCACATCCAGGGATGCTTAATGTTGGCTTCAGTTTTTAGACTACTTTAATGTTCTATTGGTGTTGCCTGTTGCTCGCATTACCTGGGATAGTTGTCTCTGTAGATGAGGGTGGGAGCAAAGAGGAAGTAGAGGTACTGAGAAATTCTGGGAATAGGTACTGTGCCTGGAAGAGGGAGGAAAAAAAAAAAAAAAAAAAAAAGAACACTGCAATCTTTTTGCTTACCAATGGTTTGGGTTCCCCACTACCCTTTCACAACACAGAACCCTTATCACCTCAAAAACCCTTAGTCTGGAACTAAAGATGTGGGATTTACAGAGAATAAAACAAACTATGCCTATCAGATGAACTTGCCCCACCATTAAGCATAGATAAAACAAACTATGCCTATCAGATGAACTTGCCCCACCATTAAGCATAGATAAAAAGTGAGGGTGACTAACAGGCAGTGCAGTGCTAACACCTTGATGTCATGTTTCCTTTCCTCCTAGGGAAGCTGAAAAGCCTGTATCAACATGTGGGGTCATGTTCAGGTCTGGCATGCCTTGCTTAAAGGGCTTCTGTGCTTCTACAATTGCTGCCATTTCACTGAGGGTGTGCAGGCAGCCTCTACACACCTTTTTCTCCTAAAAGCAGAAATAAAGAGTCCTGTTGAAGCAAGACTTGAGACACAGAGATGACTTAGACCTCAACAACAGTCTAGCTCATTGACTATTATCAAATGAAAAGGTTCAGGCTGAAATTATGATGCAGAAGGTCAGCCTAGAGACCCATCACCTGCCTAACCAAAGTCATCTACTCAAATCCTACCTCTCCAATTCATGAGGGAAGCTCAAAACAATGGAGGGAAAACAAGATCTGGTTATGCACTGCTGGCAAAAAAGGTAGGGCAAATTACTCACTGGACTTGTCCTTTACAGAGGACAGGACTCTGGGGACATTCTCCCGGACAAATGAATGAGCCTTCATAACAAGACGAACCTGTAAAGACCAAGAGGATATCAGCTTAATACTCTTACTTTCTCAACTTCTCAATAAAGACTGGATCAAGCATTTTAAGGCAACACCTTCAACATCTTGTCTTCTCTCCAGTTTACTCCTTTTACAAGGAAAGGGCTGCTTTCTCTACCCATCAACCTGTTTAACTGACATGAATTTAAAACACTGCAAGGTGAAACATGCAGTAACAATCACAGCTCAGGAAAGTCAAAACACATCTTATTTACACTCACAGTACCACAGCATACGCAAAGACTCTGAAGCACACCAGTAAGTCACTAACAAATTAATATTAACATTGAAGCAAAAAAACCCTCTATCTATTTCAATAGGTCCATATGTACCAAAGTCTTAAAACTGACACCCTGAATTGATTACCACTACACTGGAATAAGGTGGTTCTCCACATAAATAGTCCACTGCTGTGGAGCAGGGATTTTTGTTTAACACTGAAGGACCTAAAGGAGGGTTAGTCCAAAGTTAATTCTTCAAGTCTACACTCTCATCTGACTGGTATGAGCAGTCATCCACACTCTTGCACTCTTCCCCCCAAAAAGAAAATTCCACTTTCAGTAAAGTTCTGACTATAAGACAGAGTTGCTTCTTGGGAACAGAAAGGAAAACTGGGAAAACTGGAACTACTTGTTGACTATGTACTTGCCCTTTTTTTAAAAAAAAAAAAAAAAAAGAAAAATGTTACATCTTCCTTGTGAACTATGGCACAACAGGTTCTTAAAATTGGCTTTAAGCATTCAGCATCCACAAAACAACTAGAAATAAACAGAATTTCAGCTATGAAATACATTCAGAAAAAACCCACAGTAAAATCTTAAATACAGGGTAAAAACCCAAGTGGTTTCCAGGTCAAAATGAAGTTTACTATCTACTTTTTCTTATTAGACTTGTGGCCTATAAGTCTCTCCAAGTCAAAGACAAACTCCACAGGCCTGCCTTAGTTTAATGAATAAAAGCCACACTTGACTCCTTAGGAAAAAAGGACCCTTTCCATTTTGAGAATAAGAGTCAGTATCTCTGAAGATACTGGGTAGGGACCTACCTGTTCCAGTATTACAATAAAACGGGAAGCGGGAGGCAGGGCGTATGATACAGCAATATAGGTGGGTCCAAATCCAAGCCCAGCTGTTTGGAAGACTGTGAACAACATCCCATAGAAAAGAGAGCGGAGTACACGATGGGAGGAACTGCAGTGGCCTTGGGCCCACCAGATGAAAAGGTTGTATGGAACAAAAACCGTTGCACAGAACATGCACAGCCAAGTACAGAAGACGACTGGGAACTTCCCAAAAACAAAGACCAAGAGATCAAATCCTAGGACCAGCCTAGAAGGCACAAGGAAAAAGACAATATTCAGTGTCCACTGTTTCATCAGAAATACTTCTACTCCACAAAGTGGCTACAAAATGCAAAGCTCCCAGACCATAACTGTTTGATGGTTTAGCCAGCCATATCTGTTTGATGGTTTAGATAGAAGTGATTGGGACAATCTCCAGCTCAGAAACAGAGCCCTGTCTGTGGCAGACTGAAGTGACCACACTGAAGCACACCAGAAAATAGGAGAGATGAAGGATTCATGCCATCAGTGCTGTTAGGCAGTTTACCTTCAAATCCCACAGGGCTTAAGCACATCTTTAAAATCAGTATGTGCTTTAAGAGTACACTCAAGCTTATCCCTGCTGAGAACAAACATGTGACTAAATGATCCATGGCTGAACCAGGGTCCAAAAGAGCTTCTGGGGAACACTCCCAGGACGCCATCACTATTACATTAAGAATCAGTTCTTCCCAGGAGTTTAACACCTGAAGAGGTTTTTTTCACCACCTCTATGGGCATAAGGTATTTTAACATCTAGCACACAAACCAACTTTAATTCTACTTTGTGAAATCTGTAGGTATTCCATGTGGATTCAGTTTAGGAGTCACTCAAAAGGCTTTGGGTCATTAGGTGGTCAGTCCAAATAAGCCCAACTAATGTGCACCAGGTTCCTTAGTTCATTAATCAAGCTTAAAACATAAGGACACAAACAAAAGGATGTTCAATCTTACTGGCTATCAAAGTGACCAGAGCTTACTCCTATGCATAAACAGCTCTTCTAAGGTCAGAAGAGAAGGTAGTACAGAGTACACCAACATAATTTATTTTTTCTTATGTAGAGGCTCAATTGCAAACTGGATTCAAATTATCAGACCTACTTGAGAACACAGCAAAGATTTTTTTTTAATGTGGTTTTTTTTTTCCAACTAATCAGAGAATCCAGCCCTATTAGTTGATTTTAGAGGTAAATACATATTCTTCCCCAATGTCCATACACTATTAAGTTAGGATCAGCTAAATGATATTTAATAGTGCATGAGCCTGTCCTTATACCTAGACAAGAGGGACAGTGATTATAATCAAGACACAGCTCTAGTTTTTTGTTTTGTTTAGATTTTGTTTTTTGGTTGGGTTTGGTGTTTTTGTTTGTTTGTTTGTTGTTTTGTTTTTTTACACTGAAGATTGGATCATCAGCAAGATAAACATGCTACTTTGTACATGAGATACAGTTTGCCAAAAAGATACTATTTAAAGCAATAAGCAAGTGTGAGGAAACCAGTCTTTCGCAATCTCGCTCACAACTGGCTACCTGCAAAGAACAATCTTAACAGACTGTGCCAATATCCTTAAGATTTTTTTTCCTCTTAAGAAAAATAAAAATAAACCTTTTTGTTTAAGTACTGTGTTCCAGAACTATTATTTTTAAACAGAAGAAAGACTGCTGAAGTATTTGAAGTTTTTCTAAACACAGTCCTCCTTCAAGCAACACAAGCAGCTGAAAGCTGCTGTTTCATTAAATATATTCAGCTAAAGCAGTCCACGTTCAGTGACGATCTCTCTCTTTTGCTAGCCTTGTGATGAACACAGTACATTAGGCCAAACCGTGTTGGCCATAATTCTCATGGAATACATCAATCTGTAGAATTTTTTTTATATCTAGCAATGACCATATCCCCTCAACAGGAATTCCAGCATATACTTTAAGTATGTCAAGTTGAAAACCTCCTTTTCAACAACAGCCCAAAGAAGGATTTCCCCTTCCTTCCACACCATTCTGCAGTTTCATGTACCGCTGGTGCTCTGGAAGCAAGCATTTCCCAGCCTTGGTCCCTTTCTTTCCAAAGGGTGCTTACCTTCCTTCATCAATGAAGTCTACTAAAAGTGTGCTGAGGATGAAGACGATGAGAAGAGCGATGAACATGTGGTAGATCGTCCTGATGTGACTCACTTCAAACAGCTCACTAAGGGAGAGATTCAAATGTTATCAGGCCATTCGCACAGCACATCACCAGTATGTTACCTTTCCAAGTGTTTCACAGTAAGGTAAGATGACATCATTGCTGTCCCAATTCATGAGGCTGAAGTTAACGTACAATTTGGCTGCCAATCTACACCAACACCTCCTCAGTTCATCCTCAGACAAAGGATAATTAGCCATTATCTCAGTGGTACTGAGAGAACTGTAATTAAAGTTTACATTGAGGGAAGCCTGCAAGCTGTAGTAGAGGTGTTTTAGAAAGGAACAGAGAAGCTTAAACAATTAGTTTACACGGGTTTGAACATAAGACTGTGGGTGGTGGTGGTGAGAATACCTCAAAGCAAAGGCTACTTAGTTTGCTGTCAAGGGTATTTTCAGTCAATTTAATGGAAAATGTGAAGTTACTCACTCCAAGAGGGACCTCCTGGCAGTAAAGATCTTCCCATGTTCTGGAGGGGCCCTCAAGGTCCTGCAAACAAAGAGAACATTTGAGACAAGAAAGCTAGTAAGACTTTCAGGAAATGTAACACTGTTTTAGGGACAGCTGAAAACTGACTGACTTGGCTTTGTGCTGTTCCTTCTCTGAGCTGGAAGCTGGGAAGTGAGAGGCTGAAGTTGAAGAATCCAGGAGTGCTGATTTTGCCACCAAACTGTTCACAAACTCTGTGAAGTGACTGTCTACTTCCTTCATAAAAGCTGGCTTCAATTGCTGACAGAGTAAAAACAGAGAAGCTATTTAATTCTCTGGATACATTTTAGTAAAATATTTATATTCCCTTTTATCCCAGAGCAGGGCATCAAGAAAACATCTGCCTACAGTTAGGGCCAACTTGGACATGATCAGGGGCTTATCCTGGCCTGTTCACACACCTCAGGCCAGAGAACTTTGACTAATGTTTATCTTCTTTAACAGATGCAACACAGAGGAGCAAAGTAAACATACTGATCTTCATATACATACATAAATATATATACATACATGTCTGGAGTGGCAGGCATTTCACATTATTCTTATGACTGAAAAAAAAGCAGGCAAAGTGAATTCCCTCAAGGAAAGAAAAAGGCATTCACTGTATTTCAGTCAGAGCTTTGGGAATCTAAAAATCTTAAGATCTCTGGCACTTCAGAAGACAGTGATTTGTAAGACTTCTGAGAATTCAGTTCCTTAACGTCAAGTCCTCAGACTCCAAATGGTTTTCCCAATACCTGAACCTGGTGATGAAGCATAACTGAAAGTTAACCCTGAGTTACTGAACCATAAGCCTTTTGAGAATGCTCTGACAAGGTAGAAAACATCTTCAGCACAGGAAATAATCAAGTTTCAAGAAATAACTTCAAATCTAAGTACATACTGTGTTTTGGTTTTTTATGCAAGTGTCCACTAGCAACATTTGTCTGATCATCCTTTTGCCTGGGATTTTTCAAGTTTGCCTAAAATTCAAGGTCCAAGTCTTCCTACATGATAACTACATGTTATTTCATCAATCTTCTTACTGATCAGCCACTTAAACAGGTATGTTTCCCTGGTCACCTTCAGAATTCCCAACTGTTACCTCCCTCGTAATTTTTAAGGCTGAAAAGCAACAAACCTGAGAAATCAATTTCTGCTTTCTGCCTCCTCAAAGGCATTTGTGACATTTGAGCTCATTTGTCAGTAGGTGTTTATGTTTCAGTGCCTAACTGTTATGCTAAAGAAAGCTAGAGAAGAAATTTCGCTAAAAAGGAACATGCACGAGGTCAAAGAAAAGAAGGAAAAGACAGATAACTGAAACAGGGGCTGTTAGCTCTAAGCTGCAGCAGTGATATGCTTACTTCCTACATGGACCTCTTTCCACAAGTGTTTTAAGGGGTCTACGTCCACTGATGGATGCTTGTCCTCCATGATATATCCTTCATTTTCCAAGCACACATGGATTGATTTTACACAGTAAAACACCCAAAAACCCTAAGTTAAAAGGCCCTCTAGAAGCAAAACTTCTAGGCTAACAAGATATATTAATAGATCATGTATTCTTACAAAATGCTACTGCATAATGTGACAACAGCCCAGTAAGCAAGTTTACCTCTCTGGCAGGAAATACAAGATAATCTGAAATGAGACCACATAAAACCAGAAGACCCTGAAGTCAAGATGCATCAGAACTCTACACTCCTCCTGTTCCATAGTGGTGAGATCCAGAGAGATCTCTTGAAACAGAAGCTGCAGTGGGGGGGGGGGGGGGGGAAGGAGCAGATTAATATTTAACTTAATAAAAACACTCTTGCCCTATTTGGCAGCTGCCAGCATAGAATAAACAAGCTTCACAAGTCCTTAATGAAACAGCAGCTCTTAGGAGCTGGCTACTCTTAGCTTTTCTGGGAGGCAGAGAAGAATATCATCTCCACAAGAAATGTGGTCTTGCTTCTTTAAAAACAGGAGAGAAAAAAAACAACCAACCAACACTAAATACTTTGGAACTACAACCAGTAACAGAAGACTGAGCAATCTGGCACAGCCTGCTTTTACAGCATGCATGCACCTATCCCTACTAAAGAAGTCAAACAGAAATTCCTGCTCCTCTTGGAGCACTCAAATTTCCATGCCAAACAAAGCATTATTAATTCCTACCAAAACCCAGTCTGTTTTTTTAAAGTCTCTCCCCCTTTTTTCAGCCTAATCTCTCAGCAAGACTTTAACAGAATTACTTCCTTAAGATACATCTTCCTTTTAGTTAGTACTCTGCTGAGATTGCCTCCTCCTAATACAACCCTCCAGGGCTGAGATCAGATACATGTGTTTGGATTGGGAGAGCAGGGCATGAGTTCTCATTACATTAATTAAGATACAACCAGAGCATAGACCCTACAGTAACTGCACTTCTGTATAGCAGAACTGCACAGATTGTGCTATATTATCAGCTATTGCTACTACCATTCAAAGGGCAATTATCTACTTGAGCAATTGCCAGATTAACTCTTAGTGATCAATAAGCCAAGTGCATCCCACTCAGTCACCAAAGAAATGAAACTTAACACATCTCCCATCATTCTTCAACTATGACAGGGCATGTATACACAGATGATCTCACTGTAGCTTCCCCCCAAGACAGAGCACTTAACCAGGAGTTTCCTAAAGGATGTGTGAAGTCTCAGACAAGGAACTGGGCAGATCCATTCAGCTGTCACCATTAAGTTTTAAACAAAAGAATCCGATCATTACAAAACCAGAAAAGGGGGTCAAGCATGAGAAGAATACTATGCCATAAAAAGCTGGCCAATAATTGATGAGATGGTAGAGAAAGTTGAGGGAGGTAACCCTGTAGCTTACATATAAAGTTGCAAAAGTTCCCCAGAATTTTACACATTCAGATTTAGTAATTTCAGTCAATGAAATATGACACCATCCAGCCCTGACCAAGTGACAGGACACACCATTCTCAACTCAGTTTAGGATGAATAAAGAATCAGATTTTCAGACAGATGCACGAGACATTCTGTGCATGAGCAACACCTAGCATCTATAAATCTCACTTAAATCAGTGGGCATTGTCAGTGACCAGCCCTTTTCAGAATTCAAGCACCTTTCCAGACCTCAGATACCTATAACCTAAGAGGTAAAGTGCAATCCAAGTCTTTGTTCCATGGCTCACACAGAAAAAGGGCCAGGTGCTCCAAATTCTCAGGAATTTTACAGTAGATGGAGGCTTTTACTTAGCCTTATGGCTATTATTGTAGCTTTGAGGCATGTTAAACAAATTTGCAAGCTGCCTAATTCAAGAGCTTAAAACCTGAACTCTGTGTTTGGGAGATTTTTCAGTAATTAAAGCACTACTGCTGGTTTTCTTCAATTCTCTTTGCAGATAAGAAATCACTCTGTCAACAAACTAGCATGTCTCAAAGCTGGTGGCCAGAAAAAAAGATTTAGAAACAAGAGACATTCCTGAAGAAAGAAACCCTAGATCAAATTGTCCCCTTGCAAGCAACGAGCATTCCCTGGAACCTGGAACTTACAAAGCTACATGTGCTTAACCGTGAAACCTTTCTCATGCAAGCATCTGCTGCCAACACAGTGACTAGCAGTGGCTGATTTGTCTGCAGAGAAGATACAAGGCTTGCTCTGTCATGTCCTCAGTAAGAATCATTCAGAGAAGACAACATCTGAAATAAAATTCAGAGCTGACTATCCCTCTAACATGCTGAATTTTAGGAGCTTCACAAGAAGCAGCACACCTGTTGCAAAAGGCATTTAAAAACATCCCAAAGATGCATGTTATAAGCATCCACTCCCTAATATTCACATAAGGTTGGCACTATTAGATGACTTCATCTTTACCCTGTAATCCTCTGCAATAAAATGAAGCAAGAGTGCAGGACAATTTGCCCTGAAGAACATGCATGCTACCAAACAATGGTTAACAAGGAGGGTGCAGTTCACTGTGAGCTAGCTTCATTTAATTTGGGCATAAATCATCTTAACATAACCTAAGACAATGGCAGCTCAAACACAGATGATGTTAGAAACACCCAGTACTATTTTCTTTGAAGATATTGCTCACTGACTAAAGCTCAGGAAGGTCACCTCTGCAGGCAGGGCAACAGGAAAGCAGGACACAGAGCATTTTAAAGACTAAACATGCAAGCAGGCTAGCTGACAATCACACTGACAAAAGTTAGTCGTGAGGGAAGTTCATTTTATTTACAGGCATTTACGTTCATTCTTATCTTTGGACTTCAACCTATTGGGGGTCAAGTAAGACCAAACTCCATTTGGTAATACTACTCTTGTGCAAAGTCAAAAGCGAGGAGGAAGAGAGAAAGAGGGGTTGTATAAGTCAATGCACTCAAGCTTATGACTGAATAGGGATATTTGTGTTCCAGGAGTAGTGACTCTCCAAAAGACATTCAGGGTCAGTTATCCCACTCCTCCCCACAAGCAAGCATTAGAGTATATTTACCTCTGCTTCTGCTATTAGCTGCATTTTTCTTGTTATCACATGGTCAAGATCAACCCGGCCTAAGAAAGGAAAGCAAATATTTAACATTTGCATTTTCAGTGATGTGAGCTGCATGTCTGAAAACACAGAAAGCACAACATACAGTACCTTAGTGACTGATTTTTTTATTCATGTTTCTGACTTCTAAATTCATAAGCTATGACCAAGTATTTTAAATAGCCATTGAGTATCACACCACTATAAAGTGTTAACAGCTGATAACATACTGGATTTTCTAAAGCTTTATTTTCCATTAGCAACTCTGCAAATCTTCCCAAGGTCCCTAAACATATTCAGCCTTGAAGCAGCAATTAGAACAACCCTTAGAAGGTCATATCCAAGGCTGATATTTTATCAGAGCCTTATCTTCTGCACAGTGAACTAGGTGTAAGATGAGGTTGTCTGGAGGTCTCTACATTGACAGTAGACAAGGCAGTCAAGTCAAGACTATCTGTAAAATAAAGTAACAAGCTCTGAAGGCAGCCTAAATGGCAACCTGGATGGTTGTTCTGTGTTCAAACCTGACTATTCCCACCCCTTTCATCCCCCACTACACATGTCTGACTGTGCTCCTCAATATGTTTCATCACTTAAGCAGTTAAGTCTAACCATGCTACGAACAGCATCTGACTTATCATTCCTAGTAACACTGGCTAGTATGTAAAGCCTCAAATATCACCTTTCTTTTATGTAAAGAACCATACACGTGAGATGCCTCTATTACATCAAGCAGAACATAAACAAAACAGACATTTCAGACTAGTTCAGTTTTAAGACAATGTCTGCAATGGTTGTAGAGTGCTGGCAAGCCAGCTGGTGTTTCCCTTATCCAGTAAGAACACACAAGATAAAGTTACTTAAAACAGTCTTGCACATTAAGAAAAAGCAAGATTAAAGCAGCAATATCACCCCCCTAAATACTAGTCAGGGTGAAAAGACAGCAACAAACCTTACCTTGTGCATGTCCTTTGGCAATTATAGCCACAACATTACCTTACACAGTAACACATGGCCAGCATTACAACTTGCACATTCAGTATCTAAGACAACATCACCACTTTTAGAAAAAGAGGGTACTGAACTGATTCTCTAGTAAGATTTCCAGTGAAGCACGAGCTAACAGATTTGCAACAGAGGTGTCAATGTTGCACTGCTGCGTGATGAGAAGACAGATTCATAGCAGTATCACAGTTCATAATGCACCCTCCCTGTATGTGCACAGCCTACGCACACAAAATGCAGTGTGTTGTTTTAATAAATGCAAGTGCTTCTGTGATACACACTAGTCTGAAGGTGTTCCTATGAGCAACCAGTTGCGTGACCTGCTTTAGAGATTTCTCCAGGATTGAAACTGTAGTCAAGTTAAATCAAACAAGGGACTTTATCTTCAATGAAGCTATGCTCAGATGTTAGCATTAATTTCCACACACCCCCCCATCAACCAGGAAGATCATTTTTTGTCTATAAAAACTGCTACAGAAGCTATAGACTAAAGAACAGACCAGTAAAAACAGCCTATTACTTAGCAGCCTTGTAATGCAAGAACAAACAAATTGTTTAACACCATGAGTTTTTGGCTGCATGCAAAGATCCGTTTTTACAAAAATAGAATTCCTGGTTGCTAAGCATCTCACCTCCAAGACAAAAAAATTACCTCAGCATTTAAGCTCCTCATGCTGTTACACTTGCCAAAAAGCAGCACTTTGGAAAACATATTGAGAGAAGAGTGTAAGATGCCACTAAGTCCCTTGTCCCACTCAGCTTGTGCACTTTGCTGGTTTCAAGTGGATTCCCCCCACCTCTCCCCCAGTACATTAAAAAAAAAAAATCAAGTTGTTCCACAAGCAGCAGAACTGTATCCCCTTCGTATCATCACCTCTCCTCACTGCACTGCTTCACAATTGTATTCAAAGACCCCTCCCTCCGTTACTATTACCCTAAGAACCACCTTGTGTTTACCTGCTAGAAAACAGACCAGAGCTGTTGAGCTCAAAGCACAACTAGCCTTTTCCTACAAAAAGCCTTTCCCTACACAAATTGTGCTCAAAGCACAACTAGCCTTTTCCTACACAAATTCTTCTTTGTGTCTCTTATTCAGCTGCCTGTCTTAAAGACTCTATCAAGGTTGCTAGATGATGTCCAACATGGTCAAAGAGGACAGGACACATGAAACTTAAGGGACTGCACTATTTCCTTTGTAAGCTAAGCTAAAAATAAATAACCACCGCTTTGACCGTATATTTCCTGTCAGATCTTTCATTTGGAGCCTCTGTTATTATAATTACCCAAGAGGGGCTCACTGGAAATAAAACACCCTTTTAAAGTGACAAGGCCCTAAAGAAGGCTACAGTTTTACAGATACCTAATGTACAACTTTAATGGTTGTACAGGGAACGAGACCAGCCTGTGATCTGCTGACATAACCGCTAAATTGTATGCAGTGTCCCTACTATCACTTTATTCACCCACACACCAGTGTGTATGCACAGACTAGACTAGAAACACAGCATCTTTTAAAAGGATTTAAAATCAAGATTCTATGTCTTTAGTGTATGCACCTCATAACAAAGTAAAACCACCTGTAAGCTTATTGCTTCTTTTCCAGAACAGAGTCTCCTGTAGAAGAAATCCCACCCCAAAACAACTCATTCCGCTGTGTTGCATCACCTCATATACTCAAGCTGCATCACAAGGCAGAAACCAGAGAACACAACTCATCATCTTCGTGAATCATTCATCTTCTGTTGTGCAAGCTGCTACTGTTGTGTGAGGTCATTCGAGAAGAGAATCATCACATGATTTCGAGTCTAAAAGGAATTGTGCACTATGGAGAATCTAAATCTTCATTTTCCTTTGACACTGAAAAGACTGGATCCCCCTGTATCACTTTAGCATTGCAACATCATTGCAAAAATGGACTCAAGGCTGCAGAAGACAAGCAAGCACATCTTTGCATTTAAACCAAGATGGGATGTGCCTTAAGAAAACTGGAAATGTAATTAAAGTCATAAGGAAGAAAATCTTCTTTGAAGACTAGTATGAAATAGCAGCCAACTTTACAAGAGACTGAAGCAGGGTTTGTTTAAAAAGGGAGAGTTTTAATTTAATGGTAGTTGTGTTCTCTTCCCATCTGAGAAGACATTGGTAAGATCTTTAGCTGACCCCTTGTCTTGGGCTTGTAGAAACTGATCCTTGTAGGATGTGACACCTCTGCACAGCCCAAATTCCAAGCAGGTTCGAGTCAGAAATTTTAAAATTAGCAATTTAAATGTAAGCTTTGTTTCCATAGGAAACCAGGCTAGTGAAAGATCACCTGAAGACTGAGAAAAAGTCTTACTGTTGAAAAATTGAGCAACTTAAGTTTCACAAAAGATTTACAAACTATCTTTCTTAAAGGATCTCACTGTGCCTTTTTCAACCTACTCTTGTACATGTTACAGATAAGTAACATTTGAGATGTCTAGAGAAGTGTCCCATTCATACGATCCGTTAGTGCTGCAGCTTGGGATCCAACAAAACTAGCTTCCACACAAGACACTTGCCAGTGCTCTACTAAGCAAGCTCTCAAGAATTAACTATGTTAAAAAGCATTCATTTTATTTAACTGCTAGAGTCTGCAATTACCACCAAGGATACAAATGGGAATAAGTCATTTGAGTAAATCTGTGGTTTGTGTGCAGCATTACAGTTCCAGCCTGTAGTGACTTCACCAGCCACAGAAGTTGCCTGCAGCCCAGTGCTCTGAGCCATTGCCACTCAAACTGTTCCTGCATTGTGGCAATAAGCTTATTACTGAACAGTTATCTAGAACAATCCCTAGGGACTACTGCTATCTAAATCCTTGCACAGCATTCAAAACAAAAACGCTTCTTCACAGATAAGCTAGGAAAAGTACATGAACAAACTTTAGTTTATTGCCACATGTGCTTTAAAAGACACTTCTTACAGCCAGGCACACCACCCACAGTTCAGAAGCGTTTTCCCCTAATGATGTCAGGATCTGTTTAGCTTCAGGATCTTCATGGAAAGTCACAGATACAAACTGTACCCAGTACTGCCCTTCTTTAAAAGGGTTTAAAAATATTATCTTCATTATTTCTTGATCAGACATCTTACCATTCAAAAGGTTAAAGCAACACAGGCAGAAGGATTTCATTACTGTCAGATACCTGGATTCAAAGGCTCCCTCTAAAGACACCAAAAATGTTATCTGAAGGAAAGCAATGTTAAAGCCAACCTAGTGCAAGGCTACTGTAGAGGGGAAGTCTTCCATACCTACTACAATACAATGTATGTTAATAATTTGATGCTAATAATCCTTATTCTTACTTATGGTAATTTATTTGGCCACTCAGCAGATAGAGGCAAGTTATGACTAGATTGCCCCCCACAACTCAGCCTATCTGCTTAAAGAATGCATTGGCCATAAGCCACCGTGCCGCAGTTGTGCATTCAGTTTAAAAAGCTGTTTCTGTAAGGACACAGGACTCAAGCAGCCTCTTCACTAGCAGGAGGAAGCACCAGCATTCTCTACATCATGCCACCATGTCCACAGGCTCTTTACAAGAAACTGCTCAGTCTTCCCCAACCCTACAGGCTGCAAAACATGAGAGTGCCTACAATAACTAGAATCCAGCTAGTCTCAGACAAGACCACTGTGTTTGATCCACCTCCTGGAAACACATCCAAGATACTCAATTCAAGCAGCTTAATCCCAAATTCACTAATCCATAAGAAAGAGCATGTTGATACAATGAACACCTATTGCTGAGTCATACAGCAATCCTAAAGCTTTCTAAACTGCTCCCTGTTTCAGAGCTCCCTCCTCCTCCATCTATCAGGTGGCACACACATCTCATGCAGCATCATGAACTTTTGCACTGAGAATGATCAATAGTAACCTCTTCATTGGAAGATAACAAGACTTTCCTAAGATCAACGTTGCCAAACAGGCTTACTCACACCAGACAAAGATATGCCACATAGCTTGTTTGCAGATGAGTCCCCAGAGACACTTTTAATCCCTTTCTGATTTCTGAAGAAACAAGGGCAGACTCCAAAACCATCAGTTTTCTGGTTTGGATGGTCTGATCTTCACAATTTAGAGGCACTCCAATACAGGCTTAAGAGCCATGTCCTCTCAAACCTTTTAAGACCCCCAGTTTCCATTATGCTCGTTCCAGGTAAGTTTTCCTGCAACCGGTACTGCTCAACAACCCATTAAGCAGAACAGTTTTGTATTTCTTTAGGTATCTGCAGCTGAAAACACCTAAAACTAATCTTATTAAAGAAGCCCAGCTTTTGACAGGGGATTATTGCTACCTAGATCACCTGTTGACTCTATGACAGGACCAAATTAGTTGTTTGATTATGACACTGGAGCCAACTGAGGAAGGAAAAGTGATATACAAGACTGAAGTTCAGCTACTCTGTCAAAGTGAAATTATAGGCAGAATGATTACAAGATACAAACACATCAAAAGACAGAAGAATTTTTCTGGCAAATCTCAAAGCTATGAATATTCCCACATTGCTATAAATTTGGGAGTACCCAAGTCCAAACTAGAAATGAAGCAATGAGGCAGTTTTCAGAAGCACTTCTGAGGCAAGGAAAAAAAAATAACCTAAACTATACAAATGGAAGAGTCAGACCTAATGTAACTCTACAGCCAATACATAGATTAAAATTATTCCTCTGAGCAATTTCAGATCAGCCAATGCATTTGAGTTTTAATGAAAAAGGGATTAGTGGCCTAGAAGCTTCTGTAGAAAGTTCACACATCTGCAAACAAGTCAAGTGGCCCTTGACACGTTAACTCTTAAGTTGAAAAGTAGATTGTGTTTGCTAATCAGGAAGGATCAAGGGTGGGAAATCACATTAGCAACTTGATTTTTCTACACAAATAATTGCCACAAAGACATTACATATTTACTCGCATGAGATACCGTCTTGACCTGGTCAGAATCCCTTGACCACAATAAATATGTATCTTGCCTAAAATTCTACACAACACCCAGTGTTAGGATGCTACAGTATAAAAAGGACATTGCCAGACAGCAGATCATTAGCTTCATGCCACCTTTGTACTCATCAGGACTAATGCCTTAGAAACAGATATTCAGAAGTGAATAGCTTGGGTAAAAGAAAGTGAGAAAAGAACTCTATAGCTACTTCTTTTTAGAAATTCTTCCACCTCAACTGTGCCTTCACAGAGGCCACTACTTGGAACACATGGACACTTCAGCTTTGTAAAGCTGCAACCTTTGTGTCACAGAGATGCTGATCTAACCTCACTGTACAGAGGAATTCCTGACCAGAGGGATGCATCTTCCTCCCGGGCCTATAATGTGGTCAGGCATCAGACTCATGTCTCCTACCTCCCTGCGGCGTTCCTGCTGTCCCCATCACTGTGCCGGGCAAAGAGTCTGCAAAAACTGGTGTCAAAGACCCGAGTGTTACTTCTGCTGAACTGGCAGCAACCCTGGAAGGTAAGAGACACCTGATCTTACCCAGCCAGGATTCCTCCCCACTCTCCTTGCTGACCTTCACTGCAGTTTGTACTGTATTAAAATACTGCATTGGTCTAAGCCAATGCACCAGGCACACATACACACATGAAAGCTCAGTACACTTTCAAGAGATCTACCTCAGAATGTTTACTTGCTATGCACCCGCAGTATCACACCTGCAGTGACATTATGTTGCATTTCAGAGTTATTAAAATGAAAGACTTTTAAAGACAGGCACCCCCATCTATCATGTGCTAATTATCACAGCTCTGTTTATTCTTTACCCAGAAGCTTGCAAGAACTCAAATTCATGCATAACAGTTAAGGTGTTTCCACAGATGAAAAGGTCAAAGTCTGGTTCTAAACCCATCATAACTGAAGTAGCCATCAACTCCATGCAATGTTCTAAAACCAACATTACTGGAACAGTCCCATTTGATTCAATTAAAATGATGGTACCACCAACAGCTTAAAATCCCAGTTCTCCAGGTTTTTTTTTTTTTTTTTTTTTTTTTTTGCAAAGAAGAAATCTGACCTGTCCTAAATTTAAATTTGCTCCAACTCCTGTTTCAGTTGAAAGAAGTACTAGGAAATAGTCACAATATTCAGAAGCATACCAGTAAGAATTATGTCCTTGAGTCACTGGCACCTGGGTTTGGAACTGAAACTGATGTGGAACATTGTGATAAACTAGTTTAGCTTTTTTGCTTATTCTGTCTCCTGAAGGGAAAGGAAACAAGCTGCAATTTCATTGCTAACCTCCTTATCACTGGGCTGGAGTGTGGCACGACATAACCCAGGAATTAGAGATAGTTACAATGTCCACAGAGTCCACAGGCAAAACCACTTATACTGCCACACAACTACCCCCAAAACTCAAGGGATGGTACACAGGCAGCAGCAGTGATTCTACAAAGACAACTATAAGCCACATAACTTTTAAGGTGACCACAATACAAATTAATACAAGCCCAACTCTTTATCATTCTATTTTATTACAGCCAAGGTTGAGACTGGATAGAAGGAAGTTGTTCTGACATTAACAGAGCTTCACAGGAGCAGAGAATCATTCCTTGTGGCATCCTACCTCCATCTGTCTGTCAGGATGTATACACCAGCTTAGCCTGGTATGTCAAAGACCATTTTGTTCAATCTTGAGGAAGTCACATACTTAAAGCTTGTAAAGGAAGCAAGATAAAGTCTCCAGAAAAAGCATTTACCAGGATTACTCAGAACAGTTGTCAAGATGCATCTGTACCACTTAAAGCATTAAAGCATCTCCTCACACACATCTGTCCTGTGACAATCACTTTCTTTACTAAGATCCCTGTAAGCACTGCAATATACAGCCCCTGAGGAGAAGCTCTGCAGGACAGCACTCCAAACAACCTAAACCTCTGAAGAAGAGCAGCAGGTACACAGGGAGCTCCACCTTGGCAGCCTTTCTACAAGCACAAAAATGAAAGCAAAGATGCAGGAGCCATGAGCTAGAAAGGACACCTTAGAGGAGATCACATGCCAGAGATACAACCCGTCCCCTTAGCGAAAGAGTCTCACCATTGCTTGAATTTTGAAACGACCTCTCACTCTCAGGTCTCCTCTGCGTTTCTTCATTCTCAGGGGTCTTGAAGGTTGTAGTGGAGCCAGACTGGCGTTTTCTTACACAGTCTTCACCTGCCATTGTTGCCTTTTCTGTATACCAGAAAAGGATAGCAGATAGTTAATGACAAAAAATTAATTTACTCTTTACATTGCTCAAGAATAAACTTACATAGCCTTCTTTACACTAAAGTTAGACTTTCTTCCCTCTGTTATGAATTCAGAGCAAGGATAGGGGAAATAAAGCACACACTCGTATTAGTCATTTACTGTGGATCACACTCTCTCCCTTACAGCAAGCAGTAAGAACAAAGTAACCAAACAAGCTCCCCCCACCTCCCTCCTCTCCCTACAGAACTTCTAAGCATTTAAAGTTACTTAAGCCTTTGTGAAATTTTTAAAAGGCAAAAAAGCCCATGTAATGCTTTCTGATAGTCAGTCAGACAGCAAAATTTGTCTTCTCAGAGATCTGGCAGGTTTGCTTTACAGAATCACCTGCATTATTTTTCCTAATCCAAGCCCCTTACTGTCAAGTTTTCAGCTCTTAGTGAAAGAGCAGCTTCCTCAATAGATCCTTGTACTCTGTTTGGCCAGACAACAGTTGCATTGCAAACCTCGGAAAAACAGGAAGAGAGAACCAGGTTTGAACTACGCCAGATTCAATGACAAAGGTCACTGCTGGGGATAGAGCTAGCTGCTAGCAGGGAACATCTGAACCACCACAACCAGGCTGAAAACAAGAAATTCTCTGTTATTGACAAGGGGAGAAGCAGATTTTAATCTGGTCATGAAGTGACACTCCAGCACACTCTCCCTGAGCTCAAGAAGCTCTCAGAGATGTAGCTACAACCAAAGACAATTCTCAGAGCTGGACTCCCAGAAAACCACACTGGCATGTATAAAGCCACATTCTCAAACAAACACTTCTCCTTTTTTATGTATTTTTTTCACCTTGGCACAAACTCTTAAACAGATGTGTTACATTACTTGTGAACAGAATACACACACCAGCACAGATGAGCTGTTAGAGACAGGCAAGGAAAACTCACACACTTGTAGAAAAACTAAGAAGGCAGAACATTGTTATTTAAGGATGTATTTCCTCAGAATACTAAGGCTGGCACTTCTGTAAAAGGGAAATAAGACTATGATCCAGTGTTTTCAGAACTCAGCTTCCTATGTTTGTCCCTCTAGTTGGACAATTCTCCTTTAAGGCATCACAGCATATAGAGGGGAAAAAAACCTTCTGCAACACCAAACAACAAATCACTAATTCAATCACCAATGTTATTTCTTGCAGCATTGCCTCTCCTAGCGCTGCCTCAAGAGATCACAGCCAGGTCTACAAGCTATAAAATAAAGACCATCAAAATGACAAACATCCCAGCTGGCTTTGTATACCACCTGATAGCTCATACTATCATAATTTACATAATGCAAAAAGCATTTACTTGAAAAACAGCAGGAACCAGGCAAGAATATTTTAAGTCTTCCTACAGTAACTATGCTCACCAGCAGAGAAAGGTGGCTGGTAGGACATAGCCACTTACCTAGCAGCTCTGTTACTGCTGTAACCCTCCTCAATAACCCTCTTGCCTTTAAACACAAGTCAGTCACCATCATGAAGACACAACTCTTCCCTCCTCCCAGCCTTCCCACAAGGTTCCCAGTACAGACACGGCCACATCACCATTTTGTCCACCTGGGGCTTACAACTACATAGAGCCCCTGGACAGGCAAACATGTCAATATTTCTCTTCTGACACAAGAGAGATGCCCAAAACCCTACTGAAGGATAAGAATGGATCACTCCGATCACACAATAAGGCCCTCAGAACAGTGGAGGGGGAAATGAAGCTGCCTTAAAAATTTGTACACTGACAAACTACTCCTTGGGCTACTAGCAAGCCTCTTCACTGCCTCCCGATCCAAGTTAAGTTGTTCTTGTGAGCCACATCTGTCCTTAAAGGTTCAGGTTTTCCAGGTCTAACAGAAGACCACAATTTTCTCAATAATTATTTTCTCCTTCTTTAAGGGGTGAAGAAGGCACTCCTTCCTCTCCAGTGCAGAGTGGTTAGAGTAACTCACTGAAAGGCTAGCAGAAGGGAATTAGTTTCAGGTTAGGGGAAGGAAAAATCATGTTTTTCAAGGAGAAAAAAAAAAAAGTTAAAGCAATTAACTAAAAGAGTTGAGTAACTTTTTAATAACCGAATTCAGATAGGCTGAGTGATCACAACAAAGCCTTTTTTACACCAAAACAAGAACTGTGCTAGGGGAAATCTATGAAAACAAACATTTTCCTAGACTAGTTTCCATATGAAGAGAGGTGTAACATTACAGTACCTAAGCAACTATCAGCACATTAATGCATAAAGAGGGCATCAGGCCAGTCCTCTAATCTCTGCTAGAAGATAAATCAATCACGACACAATGACAGGAAAACTCCAAAACATTCACTATCCCCTCAAAAAAGGAAATCTCACAGTTGGTAAAGTCACTCCGTTCACCCCACTCTGAGCACTTGCAGGACAAGTAGAACCACAAATGTGTCCCATTATCAGATTTCCCAACAGAAACTCCCTGATTCTATAGATATGATTGCGTTATGGTACTCGTGAAAGGTCTCCAAAACCCTTCAGTTTCTCCATCTTCCCTTTCGAAACATCGGCAATTATAAGCATGCCTTAGGACAAAGGCAACACCCTGTAGGAAGTACATCTTTGCATTTCAAACGGCTTGGCAGCACAGCGAGGGCACATCCTCTACCTCCAATACCTCTTATGCTTAATAATAACAATCTTATCCCAGCCTTTCAGATCTCCAAGGCTTTCCTTCGGCCCTTGGGCATCACACTAACTAGCAGATCCAGTGTGCTACGTCCTCGGTATCAGTAGAGCTCTTCACGAGCCAGGCAGGTACCAAAACAAAGTTAAGGTCGCTCCACAGCTTACCCGCAACGCACAAAACAGTCGGCAAGGAAAAAAAAACAAAAAACAAAAAACACAAAAAAACCCAGCCAAAAACCACCAAACCACGACGGACACCTGCAGATAACAATGGAAGCTGCTTAAAGCACTGCCGAGGCTCTGAGAGCACCAAGTCAGCTCCCTTCTGCACTAACTCCCTGAAAACAAGCGCGGAAGCCTCATCCCACGGAGCCCGCTGTCAGCGACAAGACCCACCCGCACCTCCCGCCCGAGCCCCAGGCCCTGAGGGCGCCCGGCGGCCCGCAGAGCGCTGCC